AACATGGCACTAATATTAAAAAAAAAATATATTAAACTCTGGTTACATTTGATAATATTTTAATATTTACACCTAACACCACTATATAGGTTATTAAATTAAGAAAAAAATATACTTTGGGATGTTAAGAGATCGTATACATTATTGAAAATGAAATCAAAATATGTATTAAAACTAATATTTTTTAACGAGTTGTAACATTTGAAGTATTGCTTTATACCACCATTTTGATTTTTATTAATATTTAGATAAATGACACTTATATAAACAAAAAAACGTGTGTGTGTTTTTATGTACGCACGTAAGTAGTTATACTTCTTTGGCGTAACAGAACAAAAATAGCTAAAGATTATTTCATCATGTCGTTTTTTGGCTGTCGGTGTGCGCGCGCATCGTAAAAATGTTACTCTATTTTTTTCCAAACGTACCACAAGAAGTATAACATGAAAAATATTGACAATATGGTGTCCTAAGCTAGCGGTTCCCAAATGATGGTGCGTGGAACCCTAGGGTTGCGTGGAAGGGTCACAGGGGTTCTGAGTTCCGTTCGAGAGTTCAATAAAACGTTCTCAGACATGAAACCTAATTTTAGTGCTATTATAAATAAATATATGAAACTTTAATTCATCACATTAAATAAGAAAGTTGTATTTTTGGTTCAATAAATTATTTTTATAAGTATATTAGCGACTCACCCTGGCTCCGCTCGGGTTCGTCCCTGGGGTGGGCTCTGGGTGGACCACCCTTATCTTTATCACTTAGGGGTATGGAAAATACATAGTAGCCGATTCTCAGATCTACTGAATACGCATATAAAATTTGGTAAAAATCGGTAAAGCCGTTTCGGAGGAGTACGGTAACTAACATTGTGACATGGAAATTTTATATATTGGATTTTTCATTTATGATTTGTTCTTTCAAGTCAAACAAGAAAGTATTCTAATTACAACACAATCCATTTATTTATTATCGAAATTGGGATCCGTTGGTAAATTATGATCAATTAGGGTTCTGTGGCCAAAAAAATTGGGAACCACTGACCTAAACTGTCACTTTTACGAGATATTTCCAGTTCGAAGTTCTTCTTAAGTCATATAAGTCAGTCTTGAGATTTTTTCTATTCATCTATTAATTGAACAAAATAAACGCATGTCAACACGTATTTAGTTCATATTTATCTATCTATCTTTACCTCAAAATATCTCGAAAACGTGACACTTTAAGCCACTATATTGGTTTTATTTTTTGTTTGTTTAATCTCCTTTATCTATATACAGTAGTTTCATCATGCGCCGTTACTTTCAAGAAAAATAATTAAAATGGCAGTGGATAGACAAGGCAAGCTTCGAGAGAAACAAGTTTTAAAATAATCATTTTAATTAAAGTTCTGTTTGAAGATATTTGGATATTATTAATTTGTATATGTATATAAAAATCGATGATTATATGTGGGATCATACATAATAATAACATATGGACTCCCAAAACGGCTGGAGCGATTTTGATGAAATTGTCAGGCAATCTTAGATTAGCACAGTGGATAATCCTGTGAAGTTTGGTAGAGATCGGAAGTTTAAACGCGGGCGAAGCCGCGAGTATTGCTAGTATTATATATTTATATTTAAATAATACTTTTAAAATATATAAGAAGAATTATCAGTCAAGAAATACATGCTTTATATTATAAAGAAATACTATTTGGTTTTTAGCCAATTTCAAAATAGGATGTCTAAATTTATTGAATAACCCAAATATGAAGATATTTAAAAACAAAATTCCACCCTAAAGGATGGAATAAATGTGGTCAAGTGTGAGCGTGCAAAGTAACAACATATTTGAAGTCGGTTTTTTAAAATACTATCTGATTTTATTTAGTTTATTAAAATAAAATGACAGAATAACATCTGTTTACATGTTTTTTTTTTAATTTTTGCAATCTTTAAATTTATACAAAATTCCTATAGAAAAAAAGGACTTTTCATTATTGTCTAAATTTCCTCAAAACCTTATTCCGATTACCGAAATTAAAATAAATAAAAATCGTTAAAATAATGTGTTTTATTATAACAAAAAAATAAAGGGGGGCACTAAAATATTTTTTTTAATCCGGGGAGGTTCAACAGAAGAAAAGTTGAGAAACCCTGGACAAAACAATTAAGAGCATTTTAAAAATTATTATATTTAAAAAATCAGTCCACCGTTCTCAAGTGAAGCGTTTACCAACAGACATGTTATTTTTATCTATATACAAATATGCAAAGATAAAACAGTTTAGTACCTTTTTCTCATCTGTTTGTCTTTTATTTTGTTCAGTAGATATTGATGAGTTTTAGTGTTATCAATAAAAAAAAGTTGGAAACAGTTATTTTTTTTATATATATGTATGTATGTATGTGTATGTAATACGAGGGGGATCAGGCCATAGTCCACCACGCTGGCCAATTGCGGGCGGACTGAGCATGTCTTTCGAAAACTATATTTTTTGTTTATATATATATATATATATATATATATATATATATATATATATATATATATATATATATATATATAGATATAGGTAAATTCTATTCATATATGTTTTCCTCAAATCTATACTAATATTACAAAGAGACAGAGTTTATTTTTTTGTTTGAACGCGCTAATCTCAGGAACTACTAATCCGAATTGAAAAATTATTTTTGCATTAGATAGCCCATTTATCGAGAAAGGCTGTAGGCTATATATCATCACGCTACTACTACAAATCGGGCAGACTTCCATATCGGAAGTTTAAACGCAGGCGAAGCCGCGGGTAATGCTAGTTTTCAATAACGACCACTCACTCGGTCATATAAATATGATTAAATACTTTAATTTGAAATAAATACGATTATAATTTAACCTCTATAATAAAATATTATTTTGCGTACATTTTTATTACAACTTCTTATACATATTTTAAAATTATTATTGTTCACACATCATACAAACAAGCAATAAATAGCTGCAAGCGAGAATCGAACCCAGAATCAATAATCACAAAAAACATACAATATTCTAGGTATGACTGTAAAAAAAAAAGTTTTTAAGCGATTAAAATAAAACTATCTTTTCTGATTATTTCGCGGGTTTATTTTGATAGTTACGGAAGATAATAAGGTTTTAGATGTCACAAAGGTATTATATAGTTGTTTAACAGTAAACAGACAGTATCTGCCCACACAATTATTAAATATACAATAATTTGTGCAGTTGAAGTATCTTTCAACACTTTTTTGAATTTATTCATTTTTTATCAATAACTCTTATTAAAGTGTAATAAATTTAATAAAAATATTTATAAAAAGCAATCTTGAGGGCTGCCGAGCGAAGTGAAGACTTAAAACTATAAACAAACAGTTGTTATTTTTGGATATTCAAATTAATTGTTTGATCTTAAATTAAATTATGTAAATTAAAACTGTTCACAATTATCTGGTGTCGACATCTATCGGCGCTCTGAGTGTTAGCGTTAACACGTCACGTGACCATGTCGATGACGACTTATATGAATTTACTCCCCATACAACAAACCGGCATATACAAGTCACTTCAAAAAAAATACAAAATATAACCGCGAGAAAATCGGAAAAGATATTTGACGTTGTATTAAATCATTAATCGAGCCACGATGATCACATATTTTATTATATAATAAATAAACTCGATCTATCAGTCTGTAGCGTTGACCGATTTGAGGAAAGGAGGTATTCAATTCGAGTGTACTTTCGATTTTGATGTTTCTGTCATTCATCCCAGTCCCATATAAATTAAACAATGTTTCCACCACTTAGGGTGGAGTTTTTTTTTGCTAAGATATAAATTTATTATACAATTTTCGATTTAACTTTTAAATTAAAAAGTATTTACCAAAATAGCTGCTCCATATTAATTAAAGGATATTTGCAAAAAAAATGTTGTTTGTTTGTTCTTACTCTCAAATCTTTAGCTTGGCTAAATTAATTTTAAATATCTTTCACCGGCATTGCCAACATTCAGCCATTTTTATTTTTTTACTAAACCTACATCACATTATAAAAGTGGTATATGCATCGATCAAAAAACTACTAGATACACAATCCCATGCAAAAGTTCTCTTAAAACTGTCACCAATTGTGTTTAGGTAATTGTTCTAGTTGATATAAATATACAACATTGTAAATTGAACCATAAATGCAACGCTTAAAGTTATTTTCATATTAAAAAAATCAAATTAAAAGAGCACTCAAATGTTCACAAATCAACATTTGAGCGCTCATTCAGTGAGGACATTTTTTGTAGTTTTTGTAGCTGATTGAGTATCTAGCTTACTTTTTTGATCGATGGGTACATGACGTATGTGGATAGAAGCCATTTAAAAAAAAAAATATAGTAATATGCCTTAATGTGAAGTTGTCAGTATATTTGGAGGTAAATATCGCCATATAAAATAACTAATATTATAAATGCGAAAGTTTGTGAGGATGAGGATGTCTGTTACTCTTTCACGCTAAAAGTTCTGAATGGGTTTTAACTATGAAACTTTACAATAATATAGCTCATACATCGAAATAACACATATACTTTTTATCCCGGAAAAATATACGGTTCCCGTGGGATAGATTTGTTTTTGCTTACAAATTTATAAATATGTATTAATATACATTAATTATATTGGAATAATAATTAAATATAAACACTCGGAGTTCTGATATAAGCGACCCTCACATAAAAATATCTTGGAAACGTGACACTTTAGGGCTCTATATTGATGATATATGCATTTTTTTAAGTGTCCTCTATCCATACATACTAATATCACCGTGCGCCGCTAATAAAAAAAAATGGCTGTAAGTGGCTAATGCTAGCTGCTACTTTTGAGCGCAATTTAAATCATCGTCACATTTTATATGAAACTCACAAGAATTTAGCTCCATAGATGGCGCTGTTCGAGATAAAAATATTTTTTTTCACCAGAAACTAGATATTCATTTGTGTCAACAAAAACAATACTCTTTTTGCTTCTGCTTTTCTCTCTCCTCTTTTTCCAGCTGAACTCTAGCTTCTTCCACACTCCTCATCACTTTCAAGTCTTGTGCACAGTCGTCGATTATTTTTTGGAAAAGTTCATCTGAAACGAAAAAAAAAATTAATCAAATATTTTATTCAATAAAGAATCTCTAAAAACTTAAGTTTTAATTTCAAGTTAATTTTATTTTTTGCAATAGCTTGATAGCAAATCATGAAAGACTTTCACTTGACTTTTTTGTTTGTTTGTTACTCAATCTTTCGCATTTATGGGATCACTCTTTATGGGATTTTGGGATTAAAGACCTATTTAAAAATATCCCAATATTCATGCATCCCTCGGTTATATGGGGAGGGATGGATCCTCCACTATTATTTTATTTTTAATCGATTTTCCATACAAACTTTCACCCCCATTGTCACCCCCTTAGGGGATGATTTCCGGAATAAAATCTATCCTATGTCCTCCCCAGGGTCTCACACTATCTTCTTACCAAATTTCATTTAAATCGGTTCCGTCGTTTCTGACTTTATTTGCTACAAACATACAAAAATACTACCACAATAAATTCATCTCGCCACTTTTGCAATACTCAATCGCATAAATATTATAAATGCGAAAGTTTACATGTATGGATGTTTGTTACTCAATCACGCCAGAACGTCTGAACGGATCTGGATAAAATTTAGCACAGAGATAGATTATGGTCGGGAATAGCACATTGGTATCCCACAGAAACTGTAAATTTTCCGGGATAAAAAGTAACCTATATGCTACTCCAGACTATGATCTATCTCTGTGCCAAATTTCATCTAGATCCGTTCAGCCGTTCTGGCGTGATTGAGTAACGAACATCCATCCTGTCGCAAATTTCAACTTTAAAATTAATTGGATATACATATTATATGTATACTTAACACTATGTAGTAAAGGCCGAGTTAAAATAGGAGAGAATACAATACCATATATACTCACCAACATTTTCCCCAGTCTTACTCGAAGTAAGAAAGTGACCATTTAGACCTTGGGAATAAGTCGCTACAATATCTTCTGGGACTTCCCTTTCCACTGCATTTAAATCTAACAGGTCTTTTTTAGTACCACAGAGGTATACTTTACAATCCTGCAAAATAAAAAAATAATAAATCAAGTGCAAGTCAGAATCATTTCCAACATGATTACCACTTGTCTTACGGTGAAGGATAACATCGTGAGGAAACCTGCATGTCTAAGAGAACTTAGCAAGTTTTAGAAAGACTGTGAAGTCTGCCAACCCGCATTTGGCCAGCGTGGTGGACTATGACCTGAACCCTCTCGCATTGAAAGGAGGCCCATGCCCAGCAGTGGGACGTTAACAAGGGCTGAATACAATATATAAAAAAATTTCAACTGTTATTTTTTCTAAAACATTTTTCATTAAACATCACCTCTTCTACCGTCCTCAATTCTTGCAACCAATGCCTCAATCTGGTCCAAGACGCTTGAGAATGTGGTTCATAGCATATTATCGCCGCATGGGCACCCCTGTAGTACATTCGGGTCATCGCTTCATATCTGAAAGGATAATGGGTTTTATAAAACCGGTCAAATACGAGTCGGCTCGCACACGAAGGGTTTTGTATCATCGTACGTAATGTAACACTGTATTAATTGATTTTGTTTAATTTGCACGACGGCCACTTTGAAATTCGCCATCTTGGTTCTTTATTTATTTGTTGTTATAGCGGCAACCGCAATAAGCACTAAAAATTACAACTCTCTATCTATTACAGTTCATGAGATACAATCCTCTGACAAACAGATGGATGGACGTTGGTACCTTTCGGGTACAAAACCTGACAAGTTATTAGCTAATGAAATTAAATATTTTTTATGGTTTTTTTTTCATATTTCAAAGAAGCCTACACTTCTATGGTATGTGTAAAAATGATTTATAATTAAAAATGTATTTGTGCTGTAACTACCAATTTACGGTTTTCGGATCTTTCCCTATACTTGTGCTATAAGGCATTGCTTTATGCCAAATTTCATGATTCTAGGTCGACGCGAAGTACCCTATAGGTTTTGATTCCCTTTCAAGTGTCAAAATATATGACATAAACAACTGTATCTTTTGATAGCTTGACTTAGAACTATGATTTTTCCACAGCTCTGAGGGATTGCAGACCTGAATATTTAACCCTTTGAGTTTTGTTATAACAACTATATACAGATGTAGAATGTTCAAATCAGTGAATTAGCCATAAACATACCTTTCACTCCCGGCAGTGTCCCATATACCAACATTAAAGTCTTTGCCATCTGAATGCATCTGTTTTGCACAAAAAGCTGCTCCTATAGTCTGAATTAAAAAATATTTATAGACATATATGTTATTATAAAATAAAAAAATGTTTTATTACCTCTGTATTTTAAACTGATTTACAATCACTTCTCAGTCTTTTCATTACAATTGTGCATATAGGGTATATAATTTTTTTTAAATCATTCTTTTGTTTTCAGTTAAAATATAAAAAATGAATCTGTAATTTATTTATAAATATATATTTTTATGTAATCAATTCTTAACTTTTATTACTGAAATAACTTTTATTTCAATTATATCGTAGCATTATAATAAACAACAACAAAGTAACATAAACAGCAATAGATATATTTATTTATGAAAATTACTATTACAACTAAAAGCTATTTAAATTTAGTTTAAGTTTTAGTTTGAGACATAAGACATTGTTCATTACTCACATTTTGATACGGAGTTCCAGAATTAAATCTACAATTTACGAATCTTAGAACTAAGCTGGTTTTTCCAACATGTTCGCTCCCTAAAAGGACTATTTTAAAATCACAGCGGCTCATTTTAGCTTTTTTCTTAATCTAATTATAATAAAATAGAAAATTCACTTAATTCATACTTTGGTTTGTTTACATATATTATTTAAATATTCATTGATAATGAACTTTTTTAGTAAACAACAATAACACAAAGCATTTCCATAAAAAACAAATTTTTTGCGCAAATCGCATGACTCATGTCATTTTGACATTTGATATATCAGTTATGTTGCCAGATCACAAAACTGTATTTAAATTATTTATTAAATAATAATAAATAAAATACATAAATACAAAGTTTTGTGCGTCTTGAATATCTTACCTAAAATTATTATATTAGCGTAATAAAAACTCAAATAATTATTTATTTCGTATGTTCCTCTGACTCCGAGTGTATCGGTCTTTGTGAATGCGCATGGCGTGCATTTGGAAAAGGCTAGACAAAAAAGGCTAAAAAACTTTCAAGTTTCAAATATTTTTTTACAGCTTCTTTAGAAACAAGGCAATTTTTATTTAATCGATTGTTGTCTGTTGATAGAGATTCTGAAGTTTAATTTTAAAATAACATCTTCACACATACAGTATTCTTGTGAGCAACAGTACGTATTAATATGCTAGTCTAGATTTTGTCTAATACAAATTCACTTCATAAGGGAATTGAAGCCCCGACCTATAATATTTATGTATAACAAGCGAGTAGCGAGTCACCCTCGCTTCTTTAGTGTATTCAGCCCTTTTTTAAAGTCCCACTGCTGGAAGTGGACCTTCCTTCAATACGAGGGGATCAGGCCATAGTCCACCACACTGGATAAGTGTGGGCGGACTTCACATATTGTCATTCAAAAACTTGCTAGGTTGAAGGTTCTTTTAGACATGCAGGTTTCCTCTTCCTTCCTTCACCGTAAGGCAAGTGGTAATCCTGTTAGAAATGATTCGCACATGATAATGTCAGAGGTCCAAGATCCGGGAACTCAGACAAAATTTTTAAAAATTACAGATTCGGCCTCTGTATAGATAATAATGACTCTTTTAATAAGGTTTCCAAAAAAATATTTAATATACAGATTCGACTCGGTAAGAATTTTATTTGAATGTAATGAAATAACAATTACTTTTGGCCTCACACGGGAATAGAACTAAAAACTTTAGTAACCATCCACTCAATAAAAAAAGAACGATCTAGTTATTATGTTAATTATCATGATTATAATATACCTAATAGATAAAATGAATGAATACAATCGTAGTAGGTATTTCATTATTATCAGGAAAAACATATTATAGGGATTATTAGAAGTGCATCTTAGAATTAACTTAAATGAGCTTGTATCTATACTATACATACTTACATATAATAAAACTGTAGCGAAAAACTGGGTCGAATGTCTGTACATAGATTTTTTTTGCTAAAAACCGAGTCAGGGGATGTAAGAAGAGAAATAGAACAAATCCAGATTTTTTTAATTCTTTTTGTTTCTCTGTTTGTTTGTACGGATTAATCTCCGACACTATTGGACCGATTTAAATGAAATTTTCATGGTGGTACCTTATATCCCCGGTCAACATTTTAGATACTTTTTACACCGTAAAATTAAAGTGTTCCCGTGGGATAGACGTATTTGTGCTTTTCTAGAGGCGAACCAGAGTGAAGCGAGGGTGAACCGCGAGTATAATATAAATACTTATACAAATTTGTTTCGAGTATCTCGGAATCGGCTCTAACGATGTAGATCAAATTTAGTATTTAAATAAGGTTTTGCTTTTTAAGTTTATCTATATAAATCTCATTTCTGAAAAAAATCATTTTTTTATTAAAAAAAAAATAATTTTTAACCAATTAAGTATATTATTAAAGCCTTTTTCTATCTCCTGCTCTCATACTGATAATGTCATATAACATCATCTCGTAAATATTTGTGGTATTTGCATTGTCGCATATTGACAAAATTAACCTACTGCAGTGTCGCCTAGGCTTTAAATAGGATATTAAGTTTATACTTTAAAAAGCTCCATTGTTTTACTCCAAAACCTTCCAGCTGTATCTCTTGACCTTCTTAGAAGTCAGTTACAAACATACACACGTAAAAAGGTACGTACAAAAATATCACAGAATGTTATTACAAAGTAAAATTATTATATTCGATAGTAAAATATTATATTTTAAAAAGGCAGTGATAGCCCAGTGGTAACGCGCTCGCTTGGAAAACCGATCGGAGCGGAAAACGAAGCGGGTTCAAATCTTGGGTCTCGCACCTCTGATATTTTCATGTGCGAATAATTTCCAACATGATTACTACTTGTCTTACGGTGAAGGACAACATCGTGAGGAAACTTGCATGTCTGAGAGAACCTAGCAAGTTGTCTGGAGACATGGACTATAGCGTGATCCCCCTCATACTGAAAGGAGGATCGTGAACAGCAGTGGGACGTTAAAAAGGTCTGAATACAACTACAAATATACGGTTTTAAGATTTTTTACTTTCCTTGTGCTATAAGATATTGTTTCTTGCCTTTCATGATTCTTAGAAGTTTGATTTATTCACGTATAACAGATCTGCATAATTATTAGTCTAACTCTAGCTTATACGTTACAGCAATTAATCTATCTGTAATCTGTATACTAAGTGTCATCCAAATCGGTCTAGCGCTAGCCATTACAGCCTGAAGGAGTAACAAACAAACATACACACATACAAACTTTCGTATTTATAATAACAGTAATATGCGCTGAAATAAAGTTAAAATAATTTTAACCTATCGCTTCAACAAATCGGCTTAGATATTTGGGCTAGGTACGTATTTATTGATCTCTCCCACTCTTAAAAATATTGATTTCTAACAATTGTATCTAAATACATACAAATTTAAACCCTATCACTATGTGTTAAAAATCATAATGCCACAAACTTTTAACATTTTAGATAACAATGGTTATTAGAAGGCTGATAAAGAACAAGTGCTGTACGTGTTTATTTTATGGTTGAAAATAGTTGAATGATTTTTAATTATCCACTTAACCGGTCCTTTTACTTAAAATATAAATATAACAGGTTTTATAACAGGACTGTTAAACATTTAAAAAATAAATTTATTCATATCATAACGCTTTTTAACTGATATGTATTTTTCTTTAACTTTATTTTGGTATCAAAATCAAACAGTCCAAGTCTAAATTAAGTATTTAAAAATAAAAAAAATTGACAGTATTTTTTTTTCATAACTTCAAAAATAATAAAAGATGAAGAGATGCGATTCTAATTAGACGCAAACTTACCACATTTATATCATCATACAATACAACAAAAATAAATCATTAAATTGCAACATAAATATTATTAAAAATGTAGGTCAAAATAATTATATTTAAATCACTATACAACTTTGAAACACGTTGGAATTTTTCCTCAGTTTTCATTTTTTATATCTGTTTTATTGTTTTTATTTCAAAATTATATTTTTTTCTGTAATATTAAAGCGAGACGGCCAAGGTGAAACCGTATAAAATGAATAACCTCGCAAGTCGCAGTACGATAACGTGAATAGCCTTATCAAAGTAATTGTGAGTGCCAACTCAGCGGTGAACCTATCTATACCTACCATTTTTCAACACTGTTTCCTTCGTCTCTCTTATCCCACACCCATTCTAATGTTGCTATTTTACACAATAAATCACTCTTTTCTTACTGATATATAAATTTAAATATAAAAGGCTCATACTCAGAATATTTTTTATAATGCATTAGAAATATCATTTATTTTTTTAAGTCGATTTTATATTATTTCGTTGTTTTATATATAACACGTGTTAATATGATAGGAAGCTATGAGCAACTGTTGTGAATGCGTCACGGTTGTTATATTAATTTATATGTACTCGATTTTCCACTCTATCTAAACGAAATAAATATTATAATACTGTGTAGTAAATGGTATGACTTATGCTATTTTAATATGGAAAGAATAGCTCATTTTAATTGGGTTGGGTTATCATCAATGTTGCCATAACAAAAATAGTTTTATCTTTTTCATACTTCTCATAGGCAGTAGCTTCACCTTCTTGGTAAAGCAATGGACGTAGAGTCAGTTTGTAGGATTTGCGAATATTGTTTATATAGCGAGTAATCGCACTCGTAAACTTTTGCAACCACTTTTAAAATCAATCTCGTAACGAAATTATGTACTTGAAACAATTGTAAATAATAAATAACGTGTGTTTTACGTGTTTTCATATGCCTTTAGTCTAGCCATTGAGAGTTTTAACAATTGATCGAATGGTGTAGTTTTTACTTACGTTTATTGTTTTAAAATCTCATATTTGTTGTTATAATTAAGTTTAAATGACATAATAGCTGTATTAAAGTTGTTTTTGTGCAAGTTTTATTCTGTTACACGAGTGTTTAAAAGCATTTTTATAGTTTAAGCAAGATGGTTTCTTACTGGGTAAGTAATGACAGTTTTTACAGCTTTTCCAACTTTTGATAAGAAATATAATTACAAACAAAGTTATAACGCATGATTACATTGTATTTGTGATGTTATTGGAAATTGTTTGTATGATTATAGATGGATGTGTTCTACAAAAACTTCTAAACAAACAAAACCATGTCAACAAAGTAGTGTTTCTTTAGCTAGAATATTAAGTTAAATAATTATGAGTAAAATACACTTTATGCTTATAACTTTTTTATTTTTATAAAGTGAATACCAACTAAGTGTTGAACAATTTCAATTAAAGAGAATTAATTAGATGATATATTTATAAAATATATTAATATATTTATAAAATAAAAACAGCAAGTAATATAATATTTGTATAATAAATTATTATTTAATGTGTGTATAACATATAATGTGTAAAACAAAGTTATAGAAGCCATATTTACAATTTTTATGGTTTTCCTTAATTAGTATAGCTTAATTATTTGAACAGGTATTTATCTGAATGACATAATTTGCTAATGTACTCTACATAAATATAAAGATTTGCGAAATTGCAGTCTGCACCTCGTTTGAAATATTTTTGACTGAGTAACCAACATAACTATGTTCCTAATTCTTTGGAAATTTCAACTCTAAGGAGAGCAAAAACTTAAAGTATCTATACAGATAAATAAAATTGAAGTATCTGTTTGTAATGTCAAAATAACAGCTGTTTACTAAATGCATATGAAATTATATACAGTACTTATAAGAAAAACTTTTTTTAAATATTTTCTGTACATCTGTCTGTTAGTTCCTACTAATCTCCGAAACGGCTGGACTGATTTCAAGGGATGTTCATTGGCAAATAGCTGATGTTATGTTAGGAGTAATTTAGGTTACTTTTATTTTAGAAAAAGAATTGGGTTCTGCACAAAAAAAAATAAGTCTTAATAAAATTATAATCTGAAAATAATAGTGATATATTAAATTGATTTAAAACAAGATTATATACATATTTTTTTTAATATTTAATTTACCAACAAAAATAAAATATTTTAAAATACATATATATATATATACATATATATATATATATATATATACATATATATATACATATACATATATATATATATATATATATATAATAATTTAATTAAGTATATTTCATAATATTATAAAAAATAAATTTTTGCAGTACTAAATTTTTTTTTTATTAATAATAGTAATATATGCTCTATGCACAGATGATTTACTGACATAAAAAGAATTATAATTCATATTATATATTAGCATCATCTTATAACAATTTAATTGTTTAATTTAAATATTTTATAAATTTTTATATTCTATAATTTTTCTGAATGGCTGCTATTTTTTTTACCTTAATTTTGAAACTAATTTTGATTGGCCAGTGATAGTCCGATATAAATAAGTTTTGCAATTCCTGATATTAATAGGACAGATAGGAAAAAAAGATTGTTTTAATACCATATAAATAACCATATTAGGTAAAAACATTTATTTTGGAATTATAGTTGGTTATTCTAATATTATTTATTATTAGCAACTCACCCTCGCTTCGCTCAGGTTCGTCCCTACTTACGTTTTAACGTTTAGTATCGATTTCTCAGAGATGAGATATTTTTCCGCAGTAAAAGTATCCTATATGTTGAACCGGATTACCAGCTATCATCATACCAAATTTCATCAAAATCCCTTCAGTGGTTTTATCGTGATGCGGTAACAGACAGACATACAGATAGACAAAACTTCTAAAAACTATAGATTCGGCCTCTGTATCGATAATAATGTATATTTCAATAAGATTTTCCAAAAAATATTTGATGTACAGATTTGGCTTAGTTACAATTTTACTATATGTATAGTTTACCAGTATCCGCGGCTTCGCCCGCGTTGAGACTCTCGATCGCTACCAAACTCCACAAGATCACCCGTTGGGCTAATCTGAAGATTGTCTGAAAATGTCATTAAAAACGCCTCCAGTCGTTTTGGAGTCCATACCAGGATTCGGAAAGCCGTTCAATTTTTAAACTGGTTTTGGTCATTGACCCCAAACCGAAAGGCTGTTCGGTTTAAGGTTTGGTTACGTTCTGTAACCGTTTAAATCCGGGATAATGGTTTTAGACGAATTTAGGTTCCATAAACAGAATTAACTGTTTAAAATGATTTTTGTGTGCTTACATTTGGCGCGTTTTCGCTAATGGTGAACGGCTTAGTAGAAGGATCCATTACGATTCTTACTTATGAATGAATTAACCGGTTTATTATGGTATTAAAACCGAAATTCAGACGTTCTCTAAGAATAACCGTTAACCATTATTATTTCGGTTTACTAAACCGTTCGTTTTCAATAACCGGTTAAAAACCAGCGATGAATTAACCATTATATTCAGGGCTGCCAGATTGTATAATTGGATACGAAAATTGTAAAATATGGTTATTTTATGTATATTTCATTTAAAGTTATTAGTTTTTACATATTTTTATTGAAATTTTTTATTCGTCACAAAACTATTTCTCAACAGTTTTGTTAATTTGTATAGTAAAATATGTTTTGGTATAAATTCTGTCAGTGATAGCCAAGACAGTGGTAGCCCAGTGGTATCGCGCTCGCTTGGGAAACCGAGTGAAGCGGTTTCAAATCCCGGGTCTCGCACCTCTGATATTTTCGTGTGCGAATTACTTCCAACATGAACACCACTTGTCTAACGGTGAAGGAAAACATCGCAAGGAAACCTGCATGTCTGAGAGAACCTAGCAAGTTTTCAAAAGACATGTGAAGTCCGCCAACCCGCACTCGGCCAGCGTGGTGGACTATGGCCTGATCCCCTTCGTATGGAAGGGAAGCCCGCCCCCAGCAGTGAGACGTTAAAAAGGGCTGAATACATACATACATAATTGACCCAGTGGTATAAAATAAGTTGGCTCTACTGGCAGTAGTTGTCTCTATTGGCAGCCCTGATTACATTACCGAAATAAACCGTTTTCTTTTAAACCGGTTCCGAGCCCTGATACATACACATATCGAGTTTTTAAATGTATAGAATATTGATAGATATATGCAATCAGTATATATTGACAGATAGTAATTTTTATTTTCAGTAAATTTATAATAAGTATGGCACTGTGTGAAAGCCAGTTGGACTCGGTTCTGCAGATCAATACTGATGAGCAGACTTCCGAGAAGAAGATGGAGCCTAATGGAGATATTTATGGATTGGACAACGGTAAATAATACTTGTAATTGTAGTTCTATGGGATTCAAATAAAAAAAGGTATGCTTGTAACAGTGCCGAAACATCGGGAACTCCCAAAAGTGAGCTCAACATGGTAAATCCCTCCACTTTACATAATAATAATATTGTCAGTGACCATAAAAGAGCCGTGTTTCATCAAAATCTGCTTAACCATTTATGTAAAACTGAAAAATGAATATCTTCAGAAATATACATAGATACATATATAACGTATTTGTGATGACAAGATTTTTTTTTAATTTAACTCCCAATGGTGTGATATCAGTGATTAATATAGATATTACAGAAGAAAATGCTTGGTTTATCCAAAAAAAAAAAATAACTTGATGATGATTGATGGTTTAGAATAATGATAAAAACACAGTAGGATAAAATAAAAAACCACACGAGAAGAAAGGCTGTTCTAGCAATTTTTTTAAATGTTCATAATTGTCTGTATAAGGTTTTTAGGAGGGAAAAATGAAAAAAAATACCCGGAAAAATAGAAATTCTGCAAAATGAAAAGAAAGTGATTTTTCCATAGAATTTTATTTTTGTATGAGCTCAAAGATCACAAACAAAATTAAAAATTAGACACCTGGCAGGTCAGTTAGATAATATTAGTAAAAGATATGACTCAAAATTATTATAGATGGAGGCAAAATTAAAGTTGAGGCAAGTTAAATTTTTAGATGTCTCTAGGAAAAAAAACGACTTGGTAATAAAATTTTTAAAACTTTATTTCCTTATTTGGATTTAATTTTCTTATTTATATATTAATAGGATTGTTTTAATTTTCTTTTTGTAAAAAAAAAACTTTTTTTTTTTATTTCTAGTGCCTCCCTTACCTCTAAGCGTGGATTATCGGTCCCCCGTTTCCCACTTCGTCCCGCCAGCTGTAGAATTGTATGCCGCGAGACATAAACCCGAATTAAATGTTGGTAAGTTAACATTTCACCATCTCCTTAAATGTCATTTTGCAAAAATAATAATAATAAAAAAAAAATGAGAAATTGTATGTTTTGCATGTGTGCTTGTGTTATGAGAAATAATTATTTACCCATTTATTATAATTGAGAATCCGTAAAAAAAATTAAAAAGAAATACATAATATTTATACACCGTGGTCCAAAATAACGTTGACAAAATTAAAAAAATAATATTTTAAAAATGGAATGCCTTGCGTTCTCTTTTGATTTTGTTTATTCTTTCTTCATTCTTTGGCGCCATTTTAATATTGTTTGTTGGCTAAAAAGTTTTAAAATATATTTAATATGCTACGTCAGAGCAGCGTGGAGCCATAATTTCATTGTATGAGCGTGGAAAACGGCAGTGTGAAATAGTAAACATTCTTGGTGTTAGTCGTCAGCTAGTTTCTTCAGCAATTAAACGCTATTTTGAGCTCGGCAACATTGGAGACCGTCCTGGGAGAGGACGCAAGCGGACTGTTTGAACTGCTAGGAACCTACACATTATCAAACAAAGATTAGTCCGAAATCCACATACCAAGGTGAGAAAAATGACGCGAGACTTGGAGATAAGTCGCTCCACCGTGCAGCGTATAGTGAAATATGATCTCCAATTGATACCGTACAAACTCAGAAAAGCGCAATTGCTTACAGAGAAAGACAAAAAAGTTCGCCTTGAGAGACGTCGTTTGCCTAAACAACGCTCCGCTGCTTCGAATTGGAAAAATATCGTATTCTCCGACGAAAAATTGTTTTTGATAGAACAAGCCCATAATCACCAAAATGACAGGACCTGGTCTTCCACTCGTCCTGGAGCAGCCGCAGTCATTCCACGTCGCCAAAACGCAAAATCAATAGTGGTTTGGGGTGCAATTTGCGCCACTGGCAAAACTCCCCTCGTTTTTTTATAAAATGGTATAAAAATTAACCAAGAAAATTACCGACGAGACATCCTTGAATCTGTGGTTATTCCTTGGAGTCAACAGCACTTTGGTAACCATTCATGGATATTTCAACAAGACTCTGCTCCAGCTCACAGAGCTTTAAAGCTCTTAAGTTAACTTAAGTGTTCAACAGTGGTGCAAAAGCAATTTCCCTGATTTCATCAGCTCAAAAGAATGACCACCCTACTCGCCTGATCTGAATGCAATGGATTACAGTTTATGGTCAATATTAGAGGCAAGGACCTGTTCTACGCCTCATAGAACTGTTGATGACCTGAAGGCTACTCTTACACGGGAGTGGGACAAAATATCTGTTGAGGAAGTGCGGAAAATTGTGGAAAATTTTACCAAGCGTTTGACTCTATGCATTCGTGCTAAAAGAATATTTTAAAGACAAATAGGGATTCTTGTAAAAAATAAGTTGCATTTTTATAATTTATAGCATAATTTCGTTTAAGTTTAAAGTTAATAAAATTATTTGAAAAATCACTTGTCAACGTTATTTTGGGCCACCCTTTAATTAGTGTAGGCATTAAATTCAAATTGTCTATGAAATGAAATCTCTTCCTTCGAAATTTATTTGTATATTTTTTCTAAGAATGTTTGTATGTTGTGTGGATCTAAGGTTATGTTTAGAACATCTTTTGGATTTGGGTTATTAGCATGTATGTCTGTTTGGTGGAAAAATGTGGTTTGGTAAAAGGAACTGAAGCAGTGATTCATAACTAAAGATTTTCTGAGAAATCAGAATATTTTTTTTTTGACTTATTAATAAACCTCACTGAACTCCGCTAAAGCACACAATTTAAATATACATAAAATAAAAAAAAAAATATATATAAAGATTTTTGAGACGGGATCGTTTGACAACAAAGAATATTTTGAGTTGAATAATCGTTTTTCCGTTTTATCATCATTTATATCATCATTTATTTTTTTTTGTTTTTTAGCATTTTTTCGCTAAACTGTACATTTTTTCCAAAATCTGTGAATGCAGTTCGGAATATCTCAAAAAGTTATGGATGGTCCCCTAGGAACGTTTTCCTGTAACTAGAGCAGTTACGGTATTTGCTCTTACTGTCCCGTCTCAAAAATCCACCCTGTATGCCTCGTTGATTGGTATAAGGGAAGCTATCTAGGTAAAATGACTTTATATCATCATTTATATAAAACTAGCTGTGAAAAACAATAACAAATGTATCCCACGGGAACCGTACATTTTTTCTGGGATAAAAAGAGACCCATGTGCTATTCCAGACTATAATCTATCTCTGTGCCAAATTCTTCCAGATCCGTTCAGCCGTTCTGGCGTGATTGAGTAACAAACATCCATCTATCCATCCTCACAAAATTTTACATTTATAATATTATAGAAATTCTCAGGTCTTTTTTTATTTAAAATATAAATAACATCATACTCTTAGTTTAATTTCGTAATACAGTTATAAATTAGGGAGGAGGGACGTGGGTGAGGGAGGGTGGGGCGGTGTTTACGCTATACTCTAAAGGGATTTATCAATATTAGATCCCACTCCCACTGCTGGGCACGGGCCTATAAACATAAGTGTTTTATATTCCTGTTGTGTTATATTTGTCACGACTGGTGGGATATCAGACGTAAACTTCTGGATTTGAAATGTTTAGATCATTGATGAGCCTAAAAGGCATAGGATTTGAAGAGTTCCATTATCTACATCCTAGTTTCATCATCAGATCAGTTCCATGGTATTAAATTATCGTATTGTCATTCTGATTTCACATACTTAGTTTTAAATCGGCAGGGCATTAAAATTAGATTTAATTAACTGCTAAGATATGATTTACTAGTGAAGCTATTTAAAAACAAAGAAAAAATACGTAAGTTTAGTATATATTATATGGGAATTTACTTTAATAAATCTGAATCTAAAAATAATTAAAAACTATAATTGAGAACCTCTATTCGTCGATATCGGTTAAATGTGTTTAATGCTTCGTAGAATGTTACCAGTTGTATTAGTTTTTTTAACCCAAAAGTCGCTTTTTGTCGCCTTTTTTTATTTTTTTTTGCATGAATTTTTTTTTTCGCAACAAAGCTCCAGCTACGAGTCAGACGCCGCCACCTATGAAAAGAAAACGGGGAAGGCCCAGAATAGATAAAACAAGTCCTGAATATCTTGCAAACTTAGCTGCAAGGAAACAAGCGCGGGAAATGGGTATGCTTTATTTTTTTTACGTTTTTTTTTCACATTTATTTTTAGGGTTCCGTAGTACGAGCAATCTTCGGCACGACGTATTTGTAGGCGTTTTTCATTTTTTTGGGTTTAGGAAAAGAGTTCTTTCGCGGTCGATTTACGATGTTCTTACATAAAATGCGTTTTTTTTCTTTATAACGCACGCATACCGCAAGTATGACATTTTTCTGGCATTTAGGAACACATACTTGTACCGGTCAAATTCTTTAAAATTATTTTTTTCAATATAAAACACCTATGGAAAATTGTCGTTAACTAAAGTCAAAATTTAATAAATTTTTATTATTTTTTGTATTATATAACTTAAAGTACATTCTATAAGGGCTCCGTGTTCCCTTTTGAATTTCGGAACCCTACAAAAAAAAAACCAAGGCTGAGCGAAAAATCTATAGCGATCAGATTAATACGGAACCCTAAAAATCCCAATATTTCTATTTGCAGCCGCAGTAATGAATAATCGCGTGGATTCGGGGGAAAAGCGTAAGCGAGGAAGGCCGCGTGTCGACAAAACTAGTCCCGAATATCTGGCTAGGAAACGCGCTAGGGAGTTAGGTTTGTATTTATATGGCATTCTTGGTTCTCGAAACCACGGTTTTTGGGTACTTTTGGTTCTTGGGTGAAATTTTTTTTACAGTGTGGTGTGCCTAGGGTGGTTTTTTTTGTAGATTTTTGGTTACGGGTGGAATTTTTTTAGTATGTAGGTATGGCTTACAAGGGTTTTTGGTAAATAAATCATATGTATTTATTTGTCAATTCTGCAATTACATAATATGTAGGTATGTGTTTTTACTAATAATAATCAAATTTTTATTTTAGTGACTCGTTGGAAAATTGTCTGGGTCGAGAATCGACCCAGTAGAAATAGTATATTGTGCATGATTATTATTTTTCATTTAGTAGTTAGATTTGCATCCTTTTGCAGACTATCCTATATTATATTTTTTATCTGATTTTTAGTGCAAGGAATAATTAAAAAAAAACCTCCTTTATATTAACGTAATACAAAAGTATATTATATATATTTAGAACAATGATATTTTAAAAATGGAGGTTCTCAATATTTATTTCTACAAAGTAATCGAATAAGTTGGATATAAAAGATATAAAGATAGGTTTATAAGTTTACAATTAAATTAAATTTAAAAATACGCGCTGTATAGTTTGGCGTATGACGACATTTCTATCCTTTATATATATCGTTTTGGGTTGTAAAGATAGGGCCTAAAATATAAAGTCAGCTTAGAATAGTTATTGTTTTTAGTCATAGTGTGGATTGTTTTTGTGTGAAATTTGTGTACAGGCTGATTTAATATAATAAAAGATTTAAAAGAAATATAAGCGATGTTTATGAAAAAGGTATTGTTTATTGCTAGAGAAACTAAAATATATTTATATGAAAAATGGTTTTTAATTTTAACTATTAGTTAATTATTAGTTAATTTATTTATAATTATTATTTTATCGTAAGAGATGTTTCTTTTTGAAATTTATATGGAACAACCCGTAGGGTATTTTATTACCTAGGAAACACACCTATTTCCTTAAAAAAACTGAAAATCAATTTACAATTGGTGACTGGTGTAGATATCTTATAACACGTATAAAAAAGTATTTACTTTACTACATTAACCCTATTGGTGAATATTGTTGAGCTTGAATTCAAAAAAATTGTAAACTTTTTGGTTTACATTAATAAGTAATTGAAAAATAACACACTTCATAAAAAAAAAACGTATTGAGTATCTCTTCCTTTCAGAAGACGCTTAATAACACGTGTTTTGAAAGTTTTATTTTATTAATTCAGCCTGTATATCTTTATAATTCTTATACAGAGTGTTAAAATTTTATATATATTTTTTTCAATAATTATACAGATATACATATAAACTTGATACGTTTTTCCCAGAAGCATTAGAAAAGAAAGCGAAAAAGGAGTATAGAAGGCGAGCAACTGGTGGTAAGTAATATTTTTTTTAAATGTTTTTTTTTCTTGTAAACACACTGCGAATACTAGCTTTTACTTGGTAGCAAAATTCACCTGGAATTAACAAAAGGGATACAGGTTTTTTTATTATAAATTATGTTACTGCAATTCCTCAAACTATGTACGTTGCAAAAATATATATTAGGTATTATCATATTTTAGATATTCGGATAAAATAATTGTACTTTTTCCTTAGATATTTTTTTCTACCTGAGGTCAATTCATCATGGAGCATGAGAGACGATACCCTGCCTCCTGAGCGTACTCGCACTCTAAAAAAATTTTTTATATTATCCATGGCCCTCTCCCCGTCCGTCTATAGACAGGGGACTGTGAGACTTACTAAAAAACTCACCGTTTAACTTTATTACTCACTTATATCTAACGCAATAAGTGCCTAAAACGCGACAACCCGAAGTTGTCTTCAAAGTTTCTTAGTCCGTGCATTTGCGAGCATACTCTAGTAAATATCCGAATGTCTGACAAAAAAATTTGGTATTACTACTGTAAGATATTCTGATACAACAGTTGAACTGTCATCATAGATAGTTGGTTTTCGTTGACTTAAATCTGCCATGAAGAATAACGAACGATACAATGCCTTTATATCCGCCTTTGCAGTGCATTTGTACTCGGATATTTTTTTTGGTATTCCGCTACCGGCCGTCAAAGTTCAGAGGACTGAGATTTTTACTTGCTAAGTACTATGTCGCTTATACATACATACACGTGATAAGTTTCTACGCTGTAGGTGTCAGTCGTGAGTGCAAGCTTGCGAGTATATATATACAATCTGGTTCAAATGTCGCCTGTAGGGTAGTTTGAGATTTTGCAGTAACATATTATGAAGTGTTTAGTTTTGTAACTAATGGTTTTCTTGTGTTTTCTATTACTAACACATTTTTGTTTCAATAGACAAAGTATACTTTTTGTATAAGAGACGGGACAAATCCCGTGGGATAATTTATTTTTCGGGATAAAGAGTAACTTAAATAATATTTGTCTGCAAGCTATCTTTGATGCTAAATTATTTCCAGATATTATGTTAAGTGGATCGTAAAAAACGAACAGACAGATATTTTTGTGAAAAGAAAAAATATTTCCATTTTTGTTATAAATCCATAATTACTGAAAATGTGTTATAAGTTGAAGAAATTGATTTTTTTTAAATGCTAATGCGAAAATATTGTTCAATTTAATGTGATACATGACATGACATACGCAAATGCGGTAGTTTTGGGTGCGAGTGAGTGTAAAAGTATTTGGCACTTTCTCCCTTCACCTGCTTTATTTTATTTCTAAAGCGAGCGTAATCCCAATGGTCTACCACTAACTACTACGTCATATATGTAAAAAATAACAATCTTTACCTTAAGCAATGTACACATGTATATCTGACCTGCTGACTCTTTTTTTAATTTTGATATAATCGGTATTCAATAAAACAATACAAATCCATAATTGAAATAATAAATGTAAAAAAACCTGTAAAAGAATTTAGCCCATATATTTCTTAGTAGGTTTTGTTGCTTCGACTTGTCGACTTTGTAAATTCTGGCTTACTTTGAGTTTATGTATATGTCTTGACTTGCATTTCTCGTAACTATATAGGGTTTCGCACTAATATCGATTTGAGTGAAATTCAGAATGGAAATAGTTGGTTTCAATCCAGGATGAATTAAAACGTAGTTTATTTTGGATTAGGTAACGTATTCGTACAAGCAGTAATATTTAAAATTAGTATATTTTTTTTACTTTTTCGACAGTTGTTAATTTTTAGTCTGACAAAAATTTAAATGACAAGTCTCATAGAGGTAGTCATTTAAAAAAATATGTATTATAGTCAAGTGACGGTCGATCGTTTATATATTTGACATCTTTGCCATAATTTATCATCGTCATCGTCGAACTCACTACCGATATATAAGGAAATTTTTTATTATATATAATTGTTTTTTTGTCAAAAAAATCCAATATTTTTTCTACATTTCATAGGCAAAGTCGTTAAAACAACGAACAATATGGCATCGCGTGTTAAAAAGGTATCTACAAATAAAAACAACATAAGAAAGACGCCTCAAAAGGTGTCTGTAAGAAAAGGTGATAAAAAAATTATAATGAGGCGAAATACGAAATTTTTAAAACGTAAAGGTAAAAACATGTGTATGTAGGTGCATGAAATTGTGTAGGAATAGATTTTTTTTAAATATATCATTTTTTGGTGATGGTATCGAGAGAAACAGCTTTGCATGGTAGATCGTTGTTATTTGTCGTGGAATAAAAAAAAAGATTATTGTTGTTTTTATTTCTTGGAATGAAAATAGAAAAAAAAATAGGCGTTGAAAGTTAAACTGTCGTAGAAATAGTAAATGAAAATTTATAAATGTTGAAATAATTTTATTTATCTGTGATAATGGAAGGTGTTTTTTTTAAGTTTATTACTATTGCCATACTCAAAAAGCTTAAGAACTAGGCTTTCTGTAATAGGAAATATATTATCTCTTTATCGTCTTTATTTGGAAAGCATTGCCTGTGAAATTTTTTTGATTATTTTTGACAAAAAAAATTATAAAAAAATATAGGCATGGTAGAACTGGTAGTATACAGGATGTTTAAATGTTTCATATGTTGTAGTATATTTTTTAAAATTATCCTTTATTTTTTAGAATATGCTAAAGAAACGTAACTACGATGTTATTTTATCTATTTGTATTTAAATATATTTTTCTATATCTAAATACAATATTAACAATTTCTTCTTCGTTAAAAAATCAATATGTTTTTTTTGTTTATTTTTTATCTATCTATTATTCATAGTAATAATTATTTTTATCAATTTAGATTCAGCCGCATCGTCTTCTGCGGGCGAATCTACGCCGCGTGCAAAGAGAAAGTATACCAAAAGAGCACCAAGTGCTAAAAAGGATTCCGTAAGTATTATTTTTATATTTTATTAGAAAACTTTTTTGCAATAAAACATTATTTTTATTAAATAAAACTATCTTTTCGGATTATTTCGCGGATTTATTTTGATTTTTTGTTTCCCGACGTTTCGAATGCTTTACAGCATCCATGGTCACGGGAGAGACTGAGGTGTTACATGTCTTGAATGTATAGTTGTTACAGACAGCCTACCCACAATTAACAAAATGAAAATTGCACCAATTACATTACAATATTTCTAACTTTAAAACATTTTTATAATTTTAATTATAATTGAATATGGAAAATTATTTATTTAATTTTTGCTATTATTTTTATAATTATTACAATTTATTATTAATATTATTAATATTTGTAAAAATCATTTATCATTTGTAAAAGTATATGCCATTTGTAAAATCATTTATCATTTGCAAAACCTAAGAATTTGGTTTTTGGTCATCTGAACGCGGGCGGAGCCGCGAGCAATGCTAGAAGCACACGAAGGGTTCAAAGATATAAAGTCGAGTCCGACTCGCACTTGACCGGTTTTTTATATAGGTACTATTGTAAGAAAACTTTTTTGTTGATTGATCTCAGTTCCAAATTGAAAATGTACACATAATATTAGGACTTTTCTTAGCCATATAATTATTTTTAGGGGTTTTTTGTGTATGTGTGTATGTTTTAACTCAGTTTAAACAGACTCAGTGATTTCGATTCAGAGTATGTTGATATTTTTAACCGACTTAATAGAAAGAGAAAATATAGGATTTAGTTTAATTATTTCTTAATATAGGTTTTAGTTTGAAGTCCAAAAAAAAATATGTTAACTACTTACTGCTTTCATGTTCGTATTTTTTTGTCATGTGCACTTTTTTTTACCTTTTTTTAATTAATTATTTTTTTAAATATATTTTTTTAATTCTTTTTCTTCCACAGACATCAAATGCAGATCGTGTTAAAGGAAAACGGGGCAGGCCAAGGAAATCCGAGCAGCTTGCAAATAAAAATCCACAGCAAGGAAGTGAGTTAATGCTATACATATATTACATACATACATACATACATACATACATACATACATACACACATACATACATACACACATACACACATACATACATACATATATACATATATTCATACACTAGTGTATTCCCATTTCCCATGGCTCCGCAAGTGCAATTTATTTATCTACACAAATAAATAAAATTGCAGTGTCTGTATGTCAAAATAACAGCGTTTACTAAATGAATTTAAAAGAATATTCTGTCTGTTCTGTTCTGTCTGTCTGTTCCGTCTAATATTCGAAATGACTGGACCGATTTTAACTCAACTATTGCTGGCAGATAACTGATGTTATAAGGAGTAAGGTTATAAGGCTATTTTATTTTAGAAAAAGAATAAGCATTTCGCTTAAAACAATTAAAACCCATGAATTTGTGAAGTAAAACCATTTATAACAATTTCTTTAAAAATTAGATGCTCTAATGAGCTATAATTACCATAATGTATTTAGCTTATGGATACCAGATAGTTGAGGCACTACACGTATATAACTTTATATACATACATATTATAAATATAAACACCCATGACTGGAATACAAACATACCAAACGAACGCCCCCAGCGGGTCCTGAACCCGCGACCGCTGGCACAGTAAGTAGGATCACTACAAACTGAGCCAAACATATAGTCCATGTAAAGAATACAAAATATTACATAAAAGTATCCCCATAATCAGTAGAAACGTTTCAGAGATACGTGTGAGGAGCAATCTGATGCCTTCCGCCGAGCCCATCACGCTGGACAGCGATGATGAACCGGATCTAGGTGAGTTTCCAATTTTGGATAGGTTTGACTTTTAGGGAGTTTCTATAACAGTCTAGATATCTATACTAATATTATAAATGTGTGATGTATGGATGTTTGTTACTCAATCACGCCAGAACGGCTGCACGGATCTGGATGGAATTTGGCACAGAGATAGATTATAATAGTCTGGAATTGCGCATAGGTTACCTTTTATCCAGGAAAAATGTACGGTTCCCGTGGGATAGATTTGTTTTTTTTCACGTAGTGAGTCAATAATATTAAATATTTTCAGGATCGCCGAGTCAAGCGTCCGATTCGTTAAGTTTAGACGAGAATTTAAGAGCTTTGAGGCATATACATGAGAAATATGCGAACATAGATAAGGTAAGGTAAAAGATGAAAGGTAAAAGGTAAAAATGTATTTTTTTAAATTAAATAATGTATACTAATATTATAAAGAGGAATGATTTATTTTTTGTTTGTTGGTTTTTTGTTTGTACCGAATAGGCTCCGAAACTACTAAACCGATTTAGATGACATTATGGTAAGAAGATAGCTTGAGACTTTGGGAAGGACATAGGATAGTTTTACCCTTAAGTGGATGAAAATGGGAATGAAAGTTTGTATGGGGAAACAACGATTAGTGTTGAATAGATAGACTATATACACATAGAAATGATGAGTTTATATCCCTGACTTGAGAAATGATTGATTCCCCATACATACTTTCACCCCCCTCACCCCCTTAACAGATGATTTCCGGGATAAAAACTATCCTATGTCCTTCCTAGGGTCCCATACTATCTCCATACCAAATTTCATCTAAATCGGTTCAGCGGATTTTTAGTTTATCCATTACAAACAGACATACATTTTTATTCTTTTTATAATATTACTATAGATATATATTTCACGTTTCAGGACGATCTGTACGAGGCACATCTTCTAGCGGCGAACTTTAAAAAACCACCAATGGACCAAATGGACCAAACGGACCAGAGATTGAACAAAGATGATGATGAAGTGCTCTCTGTTAGAAGTTCAGAAGGTAATGAAGAAGACTGAAATTAGTCTTCTGTTTATATAATTTGTTAAAAAAATAAGCTAAATATAGTAAAATAGGAAATCGAGTGAAGTGGGTTCAGATCCCAGGTCTAGTTCTGATATTCTCATGTGCGAATCATTCATAACATGATCACCACTTGTGTTACGGCGAAGGACAACATCGTGAGGAAACCTGCATGTCTGAGAGAACCTAGCGAGTAGTCGGAAGACATGCTCAGTCCGCCCGCACTTGGCCAGCGTGGGGGACTGTGGCCTATTGAATGGAGGCCCACCCCCAGCAGTGGGACGTTAAAAAGTTGTTGAATACAATGACTACTTAACTTCGCTTGTTAATAGCCGATAAAGTAACACGACGGTCATTTTTTTTCCTTTTTCATTGTTATGATTTTTGACATTAAATAAATATTTATCGGAGTAAAAAGTAGCCCACATCACTCGGCGGTAATGTAGCTTGCTATTAGTGAAAGTATTATCATAATCGGATCAGTAGTTTTAGAGATTACCCATACATACAAACTTACATACTTTACCCCTTAGTGTAGACTAGCGACGTTACGTTTTAACGGTTAGTATAGATTTCTCAGAGATGAGATATTTTCCCGCAGTAACAAGTATTCTATATGTTGACCCGGATAACAGCTATCATCATATCAAATTTCATCAAAATCTGTCTAGGGATTTTCTCGCGATGCGTTCCCAGACAGGCAGATAGATAAAGGTCCTAAAAACTATACATTCGGCCTTTGTATCGATAATAATGACTGTTTCAATAAGATTTTCCATAAAATATTTAATGTACAGATTCGACTCTGTTACAATTTTATTATATGTATATAGATAATATTTTTATCTCCAGGTGCATCTGTGAAAGAGTTAAACACAAGATCGGAAAAATTGGAGGATAGTTCCAATTCCGATTCGGACTCGAGTTCTGGGTCTGGTAAGTTGTTATAATATTTATTATTTCTTAAGCAAACAGTAAAACAACTATCCCACGGGAACCATACATTTTTAGGGATAAAAAGTGACCTATGTGCTATTTCCGACTTATATTTCTGTGCTAAACTTCATCCAGATCCGTTCAGTCGTTCTGGCGTGGTTGAGTAACAAACATCCAGCCAACCAAACTTTCGCATTTATAATATTAAATTAATGGGATTTTAGGAATTCATTAAAACTATCATTAAAACCAATTAAAATCATGTTTCTTTCTTTGTTTTTTTTTTCAATGAAATATATTATATATTTCATTTTTATTTTCAGCTTATATTTTTTATGTTAACATCATGCATACAATGAAATAAAATAAAAAAAATATGCCTTGAAAATATAACACATTCTTTGAAATTATAAGGACTCTTAATAAAATACACACAAATACGACACGTTTGGCTCAGTTTGTAGTGATCCTACTTGCGGTGCCAGCGGTCGCGGGTTCGAGTCCCGCTGGGGGCATTCGTTTGTGTGATAAGCACGAATGTTTGTACTCCAGTCATGGGTGTTTATATTTATAATATGTATGTATTTCAAGTTATGTATGTGTAGTGTATCAACTATCTGGTATCCATAACACAGGCCTCGTAGCTTACCATGGAACTAGATGGTGATGTGCGTTAATGTTTAAACATTATTTAATGCCATCATATTTTTTTACCATTAGGCAGTTCCAGTTCCTCATCGTCATCATCATCAGGCAGTTCGAGCTCGTCAGACAGTTCTGACAGCGATTCCGATGAAGAGACCAAGCCCGATGACAGTAAACCTGTCAACGATGTAGTGGAGAAAGAGGATGACAGGTGTGTTTGTTTGTGATGCCTTTTAAAAAGATTGACTTTTTGAAGTGAAACTTCTTTAGAATCGTTGTGACACTAGAAAGAGACAAACACATAAATAAGCCGGATTAAGCCGGCGAGAGAATGAGATAGAATACATGGCCATGTTGCCATGGTAACCGTTCTTATTGTTTGACAAATATATAATATTATATTCTTTCCGTGTATGATATTCTATAAATATATGATTGTAATACGCCTAATATGCCTTATTCAATTATTTTATTAATTTATCATTCCGTTTACAAACAGAGAGTTGTGACATACGGGATGAAATTTTTAAGCTATTTTTGTTCTGTTACGCCAAAGAAGTGTAACTTCTTGCGTGCGTACATACACACGTTTTTTCTTATTTTATTATTTTCGATGGTCATTTAATTATTTTTTTGTATATTTTTGTTTGTTGCATTTTAATAGTAATTTTTTATGTTGTATTCAATGTTAATTATTTTTTAAATTTTTATTATGTTTCTTTGTTGCATTTTTTATATTTTTAGTCATTTCATATTTTTTATATTTTTGTTTCTTGCACTTCAATGGCCGTTTAATTATCATTATTTTTTATTGTGTGCAGTTGTCATTTCGTTTTTTTATTATTATTTATTGCATTTCAATGATAATTTAACAATTTTTTTTACGCAATTCCAGGTCGTTTGGCGCGTGGTCGTACGGTCCGTCGGGTTCGAACCCGGAAACGTCCGACTCTGAATCGGACCCAGAGCGCGCCGCGCCGCCGCCGCCCGCCGCGCCGCCCGACGACGTCAGCGAGAGCGAGAACGAGTCCGCCGACAAGAGCTTTCAGTGTCACGTGTGCGGCAAGTGGTACTCCACACGGGTCACGCTCAAGTGAGTTGAGGGGCTGTTTGGGGTGGTTGGGGCTGTTTGGGTGATTGGGGCAGTTTGTTATAATGCTTGTAGAATCTTATAATATTTAATGAGCAATTTTTGTTTTGTAAGGTTATAGTAGTTATACTATATGATGACCACGTGGGGGACTGTGGCCTTATCCACCGAGTATTATTATTTTTTAATTAAAATTGCATTCATTTGCTTATTTACTAATGAAAGATGGAGACTGAATAAAATAAATAAATAAATTACAAACTATTACACCTTTCGCTTGCTGCCGTCGAACTTTTAGGCAGATCGAAAGCCAAGAAACTATCTAAAGGCAAGTATACAAGGGAGACGCGTGTCCAGTGGGACGGTTAAAGGGCTGCATACATACTAATAGCATTCCTATAATTTAATGGTAGAATTATACCTACATCCTAATTAAAGTTATTAAAAAAGGTTTTAAAATTAAAATTGATAAAATAATGTACTCGTATTTTGGTGTTATTTCTTTTTTTTCTTGTCAAATTGTTGTTGTATGGTGGATAGAGACCGTCTTATAGTAACTATGTCTTTCAAAATATCAAAAACCTTAGTCTCTCCCGTGACCATGATTGCCGTAAAGCATTCGAAACGTCTAGATAAAAAAATTTAAATAAAATCGCGATTAAATCAGAAAAGACAGATATTTTTTTATTTCAAAGTGATTTTGAAATCAGTGCACTTTTTTTTAGTTAAAAACTAGATTTACCCCGCTTTACTTGGGCGCTTCTTGGTACGCGTTTTTATTTGAGCCTTAATTCTTTTTCTAAAATAAAAGTAGCCTAAGTTACTCCTTATAACATCAGCTATCTACCAGTGAAAGTCTCGTCAAAAACAGTCCAGTCGTTTCGGAGATTAGCCGGAAAAAACAAACAGACAAACAGAAATTTTAAAAATTGTGTTTTTTTATAAGTCCCGTATATAATTTCATATACCTTTAATAAAAAGCTGTTATTTTGATAATTATGATATGATATTTCTCTTTCGTTTACAGGATACACAGGCGCGTCCATCAAAACAAAGGCAGTGGTACCTCGCGTTCGCGCACGCGCTCCTCCGACAGATACGAGTGCGACTGTTGTAATGAAACCTTTAACCGACGTGAGAAGCTTTGGGAGCACAAGTAAGTGAGAAGACCTGCTACCTACGGATGGTCTTCTGAAAAGACCTTAAGGTCTACTGAAAAGACGACACGGTCTACTTAAATGACAGTATGGTTAGATTGTTCAGTTATTTTTAAGTACTAACCTCTTTGAAGGACTTACGTCCTTTTACTCCTTGTGTCCTCACTGAGACTAGCTAACTGCAGGAGATATTATAGTGCAGTGTGTGAGTGAGAAAGAAACACAACGTGCACTCTCTGTCCGTCTTTCTCTCACACCGATGCGATGATTATTCGACACTAGCATTAAAAATTCTATTTGAATAAAGTATATGTTTATTCGATTTAATTATAATATAATTACCGAAATTTACGCGAATAATTGACATTTTAAGTAAAACTGTTTTCGGATATTTTAAAACCCCAGTCTCTCCCGTGACGATGATTGCTACAGATTGTAAAACATTAGAAACTTCGAAAAGCAAAAATCAAAATAAGTCCACGAAAAAAAGCAAAAAAGTAGTTTTATTTAAAATGTTGATTATAATAACGTTTTTGACGACATGTTTGGCTCAGTTTGTAGTGGTTGTGCCAGCGGTCGCGGGTTCGAGTCCCGCTGGGGGCATTAATTTGTGTGATGAGTACGAATGTTTGTACTCTAGTCATGGGTGTTTATATTTATAATATGTATGTATTTAAAGTGATATAGTTATATATGTATAGTGTATCAACTATCTAGTATCCATAACACAGTCCTCGTAGCTTATCATGCAACTAGATGGTGCTGTGTGTTAATGTCTCAACATATTCATTTATAATAATTGAACCCGTCCGTCCGTCCCTAGGGCGGAGGTGCACCGCGGCTCGATGACGGTGCGCTGCGACGTGTGCCGCAAGTGCTTCGAGGACGACGCCGAGCTCGCCGCGCACGCCCGCGCGCACACCGACGACGAGCGCGCCGGTTAGTGTATACATACATTCACACACACGTACATACACGTACACACACGCACAGACAGAGGGGGATGTACATGAATATAGAGTGGGTTGGGGGGAGGAGACTTATATAGAGGGAGGTAAGGGGGAGGAGACTTATATAGACGGAGGTGGAGGTGGAGGTGAGAGGGGGAGTCATACATAATATGTAAACTGTTTTATTATTATACTTCTTTTTTATTATTAGTTATACTTCTTTTGGGACGCTTGAAAAAAAATATGAGAGTAAAATTTTTACGATGCGCGCATTACGTGCGTACATAAGTATACATACTCACACGATTTTTTTGTAAATACCGTTTGTTTCCAAAAAAAAAAGTTTTAATACTCAACCTGTCGATAGTTATATAAAATAAAATAATATCCTTCCCGTCAGGTCGGTGCTCGTCGTGCGGCAGCACGTTCGCGCGCTACGAGCAGCTGCGGCGGCACCGCGCGCACGCGCACCCCGCGGCCGCGCACGCGCACGCGCACGCCGGCCGCCTGCCGCACGCGTGCGCGCAGTGCGGCAAGCGCTTCTCGCACGCGCACTCGCTCACGCGCCACGCGCACAACCACGCCAAGCAGCTGTACCGGTGCGTCGTGTGCAAGGTGGGTTGTTGTTTTTTTTTAAATATTATAAATAAAATTGTTGAAAAAAATGGTGTGGTGATGGTTAGTGTGATTGTTGTTGTGTGTGGTGGTTGGGGGTTTTTTTTATATAAAAAATGTGTAATAGTAGTAATACATTTAGTGTCATGAAAAGGACGGATTTGTTTGTTTGTAAATAATTTTTTTTTTTTAAAACATTGTCTTAAAAAATTTGTAAAAAAAAAACAATCCCTGGTCCCTAGGTACGTTTTAACGGTTATTATGGAATAGATACACTATATATTATATTACCTATTATAGCCTTCCTCAATATACGGGCTATCAAACTCAAAAAGAATGTTTCATTTCGCATTAGTTCCTGAGATTACCGCATTCAAACAAACAAACTCTGCCTCTTTATAATATTAATATATATTTATTTTATCCGTCTATAGGCATCGTTCGCACGCGCAGATCAACTCGCACAGCACCTCAATAGCCATCTCGCGAACTACAAGCGCCTCAAGCAATAGACTCTACGAACACGCGGACGTCGCGTTTTGATCCCGCTATATATACATATTGTGTGTCTCACGCTGGTATATTATTAAAAAGTGTGAGCGAGACGGAGGGTGTTTCTGTCTCTTTCGTTTGTCACTTTTGTCTAAGAAGGAGATGGGGGGATATGTAGTGGAAAAGAGATGGCAAGAGTTTCTTATCTCTTGTTCTTTGTTATTGGAGCCGTGTTTATGAGATGTGGTTTTGGATTTTTAGAGGGATATCCATTAATCACGTGAGCTGTTTTTCTTTCAATCTAGACTCATCCCTTTGATGAGCTTAAGTGAGATTTGGTGAGACCCTCTTTTTACGTGAGAGTTAGTAAAGGTTATTTATTATTGTAGAGTATAAGTTCAGCGGGCAAAATAGGACACTTTAAAAGAAATGAAATATTTTTTACTATCTATGTAATATAATGTATGTTTTTTAAAATTGACGTGAGATTTTTCATAATGCCCCTCTCATTTTAAATGAGATATGATGAGATTTTACTGGACCCCAACATATTGAGCTCACGTAATTAATGGATGCCACTTAGTGTGGGCATTAAGAAATATATTGATATATAATATTAATGATTTAGCCCTTTTTGGTTTGGGGGAAAGGGATTTTGGGGGTCTCAAAGAGCCCTTCAAAGTCCATCTAGTTTGGAGACAGAAAGACGGACAGACAGACATGTTGGTAATGATGATGGACATGATATCTCAAATGTGTAACACGGAACTCGAACCGGTTTCCCACTTCCCAATGTCACTATTCTCCATAGTCTAACCACATAGCCAATATAGAAGTGATCTGTTCTCGCGCGATAGTTTTTCATAGGTGTGAAAGAGACAGATATATACATCTGTCTCACTCTTTGACACGATTGATATAAGCCGCGCCAATAAAAAATATATCTAAAATGGCGTCTAGGTACTAGCGACTGACCCTTGCTTCTCTCGGTTGTGTCCCTAGGTACGTTTTAATTTTTTTGAGAGGAACACTCATTCTTTTTCTAAAATAAATGTAGCCTAAGTTACTTCTTATAACATCAGCTATCTGCCAGCGAAAGTCCCGACAAAATCGGTCTAGCCATTTAGGAGATTAGCCGGAACAAACAGACAGAAAAAAAAAATAAAAATTGTGTCTTTCTTATAAGCACCGTATATTTTATTTCGTATGCATTCAGTAAAACGCTGTTATTTTAACATTACATACAGACTTCAATTTTATTGATCTGTATAGTGTGCGAGTGAGAGGGCATGATCGGCGCCGCCATTTTAGATTTATTTTTTTATTGGCGCAGGTTTTAGTATACTAGCGTTGGATATACAAATATAGTTTAAAAAAGATAGTGAATGAGGTTGATAGTTTTAATTATACATATTTTTTTTTCAAAGATTGTCGAATATGAAATTGGGTATTTGAGTTGTTTTTTTGTTTTCTTTTTTTAATTTAATTGTTTTTGGTCACACTGTATACGTATCATTCGATCATGAGACTGCTTTATATATTTTTACTACGGCTTTTCTTGCTTTGTTTGTTTATTTTTTTATCATTATTTCATTAGACTCTGGTCTTTTTGTCTATGTGAAGTTTTTTTCTATATGTATTTAATCTATGGTTTTCCATAAACTTCAAATACCCAAAGTGTCTCATTTAGTTAGCTAATATACATTAGTTTTTTTGCTATGAGACAATATTACTTTTAAGTATGAATTGTTAGCGGTCCCGCTGCGTTTTTAAACGCGGCGTTTGAAACGCGGCGGTTGGATCTCCGGTAATTAATGGGAGAGTGCAAGAATGAATTTACACATTATGACACACAGACACACAATATTATTATATTATATTAATATAGAATTTTATTTATACATGTCTTTTATTTTATTACACCTGAAATTAAAAATATTTTGACCGATGTCGGTCGATGCCAATCTCACTGAGACTAGCCGACTGCGGGAGATATTATAGTGTAGTGTGCGAGAGAGAGAGACATAATTGCCCTCTCTGTCTCTCTCACACCAAGGTGGGATGGCAACTTGCAATGAGAGAGAACATTTCATCCACATTTTCATCACCTTAAGGGATGATTTTCGGGATAAAAACTATCCTATGTCCTTCCCAGGGTCTCAAACTACCGTCTTACCAAATTTCATTTAAATTGGTGGAGTAGTTTTGGAGCTTATTCGGTGCAAACAAACAAAAAATCTTTCCTCTCTTTAATAGTATAGACTATAAATAATAGCAAAAACAGCATCCAAACTCCTTCAATAATTCTCGAGATTAGACATGTACAAACACACTCGCCGGCGAATTCCTTTTATATGTACGGATCATTAAAATATGGCACCTGCGATTAAAAAAGAAAAGCAAATCCCATTAATTATAAATGCGAAAGTTTGGATGTTTGTTACACAATCACACCAGAACGACTGAACGGATCTGAATGAAATTTGACACAGATACAGATTATAGTCCGTAATACAACATGAGTTACTTTTAATCCCGCAAAAATGTGCAGTTCCCGTGGGATAGATTTGTTTTTGTTTTTCAGAGAGATGTTCTATTCCATACTAACCGTTAAAACGTACCTAGAGACGAACCCGAGCGAAGCGAGGGTGAGTCGCTATTATAAAATAAAAATGGCTGGGAAATATGATATCACTAATTTAGTTAAAAATTATTGTGATATCAAAGAAAATATTACTAAATTATTTTTAATATTTAATAAATATTTCTAATATGTACATATTATTTTAATATATTTTCTAGATGAGCTTTTTAAGTCGACATAATTTTTATTTTGCTTCAAACTGCAGTCACAGCGGCAGGTATGGTATATATTAAATAAATTAAAAATTAAAAAAAAAACCGACCATCTTGGAGCAATTTTCATCAAACATAGCTAAGAATACTGTCGACTAATTCACCGTTCAATCAAAATCGGTTCTTCCGTTCGGGAAAACACAGACACGTCAAACTTATATCACTAATACTGTAATATTTTGAGTCTGGGGTTAAAAATAGTTCATTATGTCTTTCCGCCGCTTCATTCGAGGCCTTATAAACAATATTGAGATGACATCTTCCGTTTCCTACCGCTTTTAGTCGTTGTAGTTCCCTTAAACTACGAAAATATGGTAACAAAGACAGAGAGACAAACACAAATATATAGGATTAAGCCGGCGAGAGAATGAGATAGAATACATTACAGAGGATGTCAAAAATAATATAATTAATTACTGAATAATATGTAATGTAATATAATTATTATGTTAAACTACAAACGTAACTATATAGTTTACGTTTTACCGGTTAGTATAGATTTCTCAGAGATGAGATATTTTCCCGCAGTAAAAAGTATCCTATATGTTGACCCGGATAACCAGCTATCGTCATACCAAATTTCATTAAAATCTGTCCAGTAGTTTTCTCGTGATGAGTTCCCAGGCGCATTTCCAGACAGACAGACAAAAATTCTAAAAACTTGAGATAGATTCGGCCTCTGTATCGATAATAATGACTAGTTCAGTTAGATTTTCCAAAAAAAAAAAATTGTATGTAAAAATTCGACTCAGTCAGAATTTTATTATATGTACATACATATGAATTGATAAAATGTAAAATAACTTTTAAACTTGGTAAGAATATTATAAAAAAAAACAAAATCTTACAACGATCCTACTGATACTCTATATTCATCTCACTCTCTCGTAGGTTACTTTTCTGAAGTTTCACTTCTACCGTGTGTGAATTGCACACACACTTTTTTATTCATTTTCAGTTCATTTATCACTTTTCATTTATTAATCAGTAAATATTTGTTTTTCTTTATTTAACAGCTTTATCGTTAAAACGATAATGTCGGTCTGTTTAAGCAAACAAACATACAATATTTCTTTAAATAAACTTATTTCAGTAGATATTATTTAGTTTATTTTAAATGATTGGCATCGTTTTCAAATGGCGACTTTTACCTTCGAATATCTCGGAAACATGACACTTTAGGGCATTACATTGCTGATACCTTTATATTTATTTGACTGTCTTCTAATCATGAATACTCATATCGTAATGCGCCGCGGTCTTAGAAAAATAATAATGCGTGATATTGACAATGCTACGAAACTGACTGCAAAAATGCCGCCCCTATCTCGATAATTTGCATTCTAAATAAAAAAAAATTGCATCATAAATGCTAAAGTAACTAACAAATGAGTTATTTTGTAAATTCTTCAGAGAGATGTCTTACTTTATAGAACAAATCTTTGTTTATATTCTTTTTTTTAGTTGATTGAGCCAGAATATTTTGCTTGAATTATTCAAAAAAAAAACATTAATATATTTTTTATTATTATTTCTTTTTTAAAACTGTTAAAAAATTAATTTATAAATAAATGCATTCAATTTTTCGAAAAATGTATAATTAAGTATTATATACTAGATTTTCAGCGAAAGAATCCAGCGCATTATAGAACCTTCTTTAACTTATTATTTTTTATTCTTAGATTTACGTGAATATTTGACATTTTAAATAAAACTATCTTAACGGATTTTTTTGTTTAACATTTCTGTTATTTAAAAAAAATGTGTAAGGAGTAAGGTATAAATAAAACACCTGATTGTCTTTATTTTATGTGTTATCGCATCTTATATATCCTTATATTACTTCACCTAAATTATTCTATAGGTAGGTACGGAGTAATATATCTTTATAGCTAGGTAAATTTCATTTAAATCAAGAACAGTCAAAATCAACAAAGTGACAGTGACATTTAAAAAAAATAGTGTCATCCTCAAAAATTACGAGCATAGAGTATATATAGAAGAGATTTAAAAAAAATAACTTTAAATAAATCGTTAATAGTAGTATATAAAGTTCAAAAATAAATTAGATAATTTTTGTGGAACGACACTATTTTTTAATGCCATCACAACGGATCAACAAAATTGTTTTCTGAAAACATAACCGAAATACAAAATAATCAACAAGCGAAGACTTATTATTACATATTTAACATACTATTTTATCTATGCATCTAATTTTAACGTGATCAGAAATAAAATTTGTAAAGGGGGGGTAAAATTAAATAATAATTTAATCCTATGATCGGTATCACTAATAGATAGAATTTTGAAAAAAATTTCACACATTTCTGTAAAATTTTCACCTGAAACGAAAATTTTCGTGGAAAATTTTCAAAATATCTAACATACACCGATCAGAACGTATCTTATAGTCACATTAGGATATAAATTAGTCGCGTAAGGGTAGACTTTTTTAATAAAAATACAAAATGGGAAAAAACCGTGTAAATCACTAACACGTTATGGTCATATCGGTTATCATCACATTCTTAACAAAAGCTCGGGTAGTCTACGAAATATTACTGTGCGTTTAGAAAGTTAAAAGAAAGAAACAAAACAAAACTACCTCTAATACAACATTTATGGACGGTAGAAAAAAGGAAATGGGCGTAAAATAAGAAATAAATGCGAAAGTCTTAAGTTTTTCAAACTCAGAATTTTCTTCTCCATACATCAACTAGCGATACGAGAAATAAAAAATCTACAACACCTATTGCGTTATTATTGCTGTGATATATTTTTTTATTCTGAATAATAATTGCCATATATCATTTTTTTTTATTTACATAAATAAATTAAGAAGAAATAATAATTTTTATTTATATATTTTTTAACATTATAATGTTTTAACACTAGGGTGTTTGAGCGTATTAAAATTTTAAATAAATACAAATATAAAGTAACATAGAGTAATTCAAAAACAAAAAAAATGACAAAAAAACGGCTGCATTATTATTAACTTAATTGTAAAATAAGTTACTTTAAATAAAATTTTGAACCGAATATTTCTTCAAATTTTAAATAACCTTTTATTTTATTTTTTAATATTTCAAATACCCTATTGTTATAATTATTTATTTTTAATATTTTAATAAATGTCAATTATTACTCAGGATATTTGTACAGTATACGTTTAAGTTACAGTTAAATAAAGTACAATACCGATGACGTAATATAGAAATAGGCACAAATTGTGTGAGGCAATGATATAAAATATTGAATGACCCACAAAAACCATCTTGTTTTCGATTCGTGGGTAAATATCTCTTCATATTGCCCTTCATTTAAGAAATATCAATTATATCATTACTCTTTAATTGACAGAGGTCATAACATCTTTGGGTTCATGATGTATATTTATTTAGATATTTTCTTTACACATTTTAAATTACATTGTGTATTATTTCTATATTAAGTCGTCCATTCCACGAGTTCCACAGATCCTTAAACACCCTATTCAGCCACAGATTCAAAAGAAAACCTACGAGACATCGAATGGATTGGAAAAATCCATTTTATAAATATCAAAAAATATTTACTTTTTTGTGTTTCAAAACAATGTTTCTTAAGCACGCGACCTCTGGGAATTACTCTATAACACATCAAAAATCTAGCATTTTTCTAAAACAAAGGGAAAACCACTACTAGAATATATTTAAAAAAAACATTGAATAATATTTATTACGAATATTATAGACTAGACTACGCTTTTTACAGCCTTGAACAAACTATTCATTTGAATAACCATTCAATTATTCACGAATTAAATGTTAAATTATATTCCTTCATTTTTTTTGTAATTATTATAATAATACGAAGGCTTCATTCGGCAGGTACTCGATGTTATTCATTTAAATTATGATAGATAATAAATGAATGCTTAATTGACATTCATATACAGGTATATGAACTACTTTCAAGGCTGTAAAAATACAATTTAGAATCGCTCTTAGAGGATTATTCAAGTCTGATCATTGGTGTTATACTTACTTCGGAACGACGATACGATATAAAGGAATATGTAACAAAATAGTTTGGCACTTTATATTTTCAAAATAGTATATTCAAAATTTTCACAGAAAATTTTCATCATTTTGAATTTTTCAATTTTTCATCTTTTTTGTTGGATTAATTTTTGAATATACAATTTAAAAAACAATGCTACATGTAAAATAATAGTCGAAAGGAGAATACATTTACAGTTAAGGCATTTTAAGTTTCATTTAAGATGAGAATTTATCATGCTTCTACATTTTACATTTATTCAAGGATTATAAAATATTTGGTGTTATATTTTGGGACTTAAAATTATTACCTTATTCAAGAATGGAATGGACAAATGAAAAAATTAAAAAAAGAAACATAATCACAAAACCCAAATGAAAGTTCGTACATTTCATAGCCTATCTAAACGATATATGTAATTTTTGCACAATAATTTTGTATATATAATATCATTCATAAATCTTACAATTTTCCTAGCTAATGTTATCCATTTGCTAAAGGAGTCTCGACTTTACGTGAATACGTCCTTTGAACGAGCATTACGGTATGACGACGCTAGAAGCTGGTCGATTCTGATATGGTCTTACGGCCAAAATAATAACCTATCTCTTTAATCGCCCACCAAAATCCCAACAACCCTGTCTATCTATAGATTTCTTGCTAGCGATAGAAATTTGAGTTCTTATAAGTCAATATCGCTAGTAAGAAACACTATAAACAGTTATTCGTTGACTTAGTTGATATAAATAGTGGACCTTTCAACAAATATTAATTATAGAAATATGTTATCATTGGCCGTCGTTAAGAATAAACGTCATATCTGTCAAAAGACGTATCTCCGTTAAAGTGACCGCATCGGCCTACCCCATAAGTTAAATATCTTAGCTTGTTAATCTATGGGAAAAACATAAAAGCCGTACCTATTTAATTCTTACTTAGCACGAATCTATTTTAGAAGGAAGTACAGCAACAATAGAAAGGCAACGACGTGTCGAGACGTGGCAATTGCGATGTAAACATCGTCCACAGTAAAAGACAGTCGGCGACGTCGAAAATCTTAAAACTACATGGATATATTTGCTTACTATAGCTACTCAAGCGGTTCGTAGGCATACACGAATTCATCATACCATATTTCTAGCTTAGTTAACTAAATTTGTCTATCTAGTACTAATTTATTTGATGCCGAGAGGTCGCCGTTGAAAATACATGATCTAGTCCAGAGTCCAGCGACCGTACAATTGATTGGATGAAACAAATTGACTTCTCAATTATCTAGCGGAAATAATATATTTTATTAAGTATATAATAATATCTTATTATAGTTTTTTTCCTAGCGATATGTCTCACAAGTTTTTTCTACATGCTCAAATTAACGCTAAATAGAAAAGAAATCTACTGAAAAAACAATAACGATTAATATAATATATAAAATACATTTTTTACAAAATATCATATAACGTCCACAGTACGCCATTTTAAAAAGTTTTCAAAAAAGACAGTAGTAAAAACTACTTTCGCCATTTAAAGTCTAGTAAAAAAAAGTAACGTCAGTGAAAGAAAATGACAGCAAAAGTTTTTTTTTTTCAAAAAAAAAAAAGACGCGTACACATTTGTCCCATACATTCTGTTACCACTAGCTACAGTAAACGATTAAATGCCTTAAATTACAATAAATATTTTTTCTTTTCACTTACATTATAAATAAATCTAATTTTTCTACTTTTCGGGTATTCCACGTTTTGATCTTCAAGTCCATATAATTTAGACACAACCTTTTTATAACAGTATATTAATGATTTTATATTATGGGTTTGGCATTGTTGTTGTTAAAAAAAACCGACTAAAAACTCTTTCGTATATACTTTTTTTATATCTAACCATCCTAGCATTCTGCAGATATAAAATTTTTTAAAAAACGTCTCACTCGCGATCTGTACCTTGCCTACATTTTTCTATTTTTTAAACATTTTTCGAAAAATCTACATTTTTTTAATCTTATCCTATTCTTGTGCTTTTGGTACCGTATTTTTGGTTCCAAAAAAAAAATCTTTCACACGAATCGTCGCAACCTTTATTGGCCCGCGTACTCAATGGATCCTTAGCTATACCTTAGCCTACTTATTTTAAATAACTATATAATATTTTCTAAAAATTATCATATTATTCGCATTCTCAAGTCATAAGCAGCGGTAGAAATAAATATTTCGATAGAGTGACTCACATTTTTTATCCATTTCGTCTTTACCCACAAAGAGTTTTTCTATAACGGCGGGACGCTGTCCGCCCAAACCTTTGCCACTGTTCAAAAAAAACTTCGCCTAACCAACTGGTATTCGGAACTTTATAAATAAAAACAAAAAAACAAGTTCTAGAATCTTGTAGAGGATAGATGGAATACCATTTGATTATACAAAGTTTTATGTTAAAATAAATAATGACTAGATTAAAAAAAAATGAAAAATGACTAGCAAAATGACTATAATATAATAAAAAAAATCTAAGGATTGATCAACCCACGTGGAGCAAAAGCTTCTAATCAAAAAGTAAGATTTGAGCTTTTTAGTTAAATCAAATGCATGAACTGTAATTTCATGAACTATCATCGAAGTTCGTACTTATTTGTTTAATTGATTTTAAAATAGTTTTATTTATTTGTTTTAACATTATGCCTTTTTATTAGAAGCCTTAACGTCTCTTTGAAGAAACCATCAAAATCAATCATTATCAACCGTTATCAATGTGGTTAATGATTAAATCATTCCATTGATCAATCTAATTATGATATGATTGACAATTTCATAATCACAAGAGTCAACGGTTGAGAACATTGAATCTGGCAAATAATAAAATCGATAATAAAAACGAGATCAAATAAATGCAGGTTAAATTAAGATTGAATCGATTAGGATGAAGTTTTTAGGTTTACATCCACTCTTTACAGCAGCAAGGGTCGGGGGGCGCGGCACGTTGTCCTCACACGAGCAAACTCGGGGCCAGCCATTCATCCTCTCCGATCTGTAATAAAATATAAAAAGATACACTTAGTGTAAGATCACAAAAGAGAGATATATAAAAGAGAGAGAAAAAACTAAAAAGAGAAAGAGAAAATATACAGGTTTTAATAAATTATAAGTCAGAATGTTCGTTTGAGAAATTTTCACTTTTATCATTAGTTAGAAAAAATAGTGAACGTGTATATTTTTGCGTTTTTAGTTAGTTCTATTACCGGCTCAGGTAAGCATGATAAAAAATATTTAAATGCAGCTATTATGGATTTTAAAATTAAAAGAAAGAAACCTCCTTTGAGTGAAACATTGATATCCTCAATGTTTAAGTAACTTTTCTTTCATGTCCCACTCGTTATTTCCATCTTACTTAATATTATAAATTCGAAAGTTTAGATGGATTTTTGGATTTTTGTTACCCAATCACGCCAGAACGGCTGAACGGACCTGGATTAAATTTGGCAAAAAGATAGATTATAGTCTGGAATAGCACGTAGGTTACTTTTTATCCTGAAAAAATATACGGTTCCGGCGGGTTAGTTTGTTTTTGTTGTTTTTTTCGTATAAAATAAGAGATAAACTAACTAAAAAGAGTGGAATATACATGAAATAAAATATACATGCACTGTAAGTAAATAAAATGAAAGTGACTATTAGTCCAGTTACTGTACGACTAATATATAATTATTACTTGTCCAGCTTCTCTAGTTTGTTTTTTTATTTCAAATTTAAAACATCTGGATAAAAGTTTATTTATTTGTAAGTTTTAATTTTCGATTATGTGACAGACCCGACTTGGATAAAACGCCTTATCCTCCTCGTTAGGTTTTTTTTATTTCAAACCCAGAACCCGCAATATCATTGCTTTATTTTCCCAATACAAACTTTAATCCCCATTTTTACACCTTTAAGGGATGATTTCTGGGATAAAAAGTATTCTATGTCCTTCCCAGGGCCACAAACTATCTTCTAACCAAATTTCATCTAAATCGGTTCAGTAGATCCAGAGATTACCCCCTACAACGTCACAAACTCACAAACTTTACCTCTTTGTAATATTAGTGTAGATTAAAAACATATTTTATTTAATAATCAATTAATATAGTCGGACTAATAAAAATAATATTAGTCGTACAGTTAATAGCAATAAACAATTATTCTATCAATAGGGTCAGCAAAATAAAATAATATAAATAAAAGTAGTTACTTTTTATAATTTTCAGATTTATTTCTAACCCGGATCCTGAAATATGAAATTTTGCGCTGGAATCCGAATTTTAAATAAGATGCACTAAGGAAAGACGTGTGAAAGATGTTGACAACACTTTTGGTTACATTTGGAGTGTACCCTACTTGCTGTGCCAGCGGTCGCGGGTTCGAGTCCCGCTGGGGGCATTCGTTTGTGTGATGAGCAGGAATGTTTGTACTCCAGTTATGGGTGTTTATATTTATATTATGTATGTATTTAAAGTTCTATATGTGTAGTGTATCAACTATCTGGTATCCATAACACAAGCCTCGTAGCTTACCATGGAACTAGATGGTGATGTGTGTTGATGTACAAACATATTTAAAAATGAAGAATTGTTTTAACAAATAATAGAAAAATGGGATAAAACTTGTATACCAATGAATATGAATAGACTAAAGCAAAGTCTAAACTAGCACTGACTCTTTTTAACCGACTGCGATTAAGTCCAAAGGCTTATTATGTTTTGACATGTATGTATGTATGTATGTCCAATCCTTTGTTCCCACGTAATTACTAAACGGCTAAACCGATTTTGATGATTCATATGTCGTTAGATTCTTCTTGATACCGCGAGTGTCATAGAGTATATGGATATTATTAGAAATCAAAATGACGGATATTAGGCCAATTTGTGTTTTGGAAAAAAAAATCGTCCAAATCAATCAAATGAGGTAACAAAATGAAGGTTTTTAAGAGGCAATAATACTTCTTTTGGCACGTTTGGAAAAAAATGTGGAAGTAAAAGTTTAACGATGCGCGCGCATACCGACAGCCAAAAAGCGACATGATGAAGTTAGCGGCATTCCTTTTACAAGCAGAGAGTTGTGACATACGGGATGAAATCTTTAGCTATTTTTGTTCTGTTACGCCAAAGAAGTATAACTTCTTACGTGCGTACATAAGTACACACACGTGTTTTTTTTATTATGAATCTCATATTATAGAGTACAAGATAATAATCCACATGTAAGGATAATTTATTTTTAAAATAATTTTGAATATCGTTCGCATGTTTTTCTATGTATAACATTAGCAGACAAAGCAGTACGACGTGACGCTATGGTCAGTTTTTTCTACCTTTAAAAAGTTATTATGATTTCTGACAGTAAACACATTTTTATCGACTCACCCTGGCCTCGCTCCGCTCGGGTTCATCCCTACTTACGTTTTAATCTATAGTATAGATTTCTCAGAGATGAGATATTTGCCCGCAGTAAAAAGTATCCTATATGTAGACCCGGATAACCAGCTATCATCATGCCAAATTACATCAAAATCCCTCCAGTGTTTTTGTGTGATGCGGTAACAGACAGACAGACAAAAATTCTAAAAACTTTTCGATTTTCTAAAAATATGTAGTGATTCGGCTTAGTTACAATTTTATTATATGTATAGAGAAAATAGCGTACAGCACTCGGCGGTAATAGCTTGCTATTAGTTAAAATATTTTCATTTTCGAATTAGTAGTTTCAGAGATTACCCCCTACATACAAACTTACATACCATACCTATATAATATTAGTTTGGAAAGTTTACATTCAGTATTTAACGTACCGGTTGAACCTGAAAATGTTGGACCGGGTAGTGCAGGACCTGAGGGGGTTGGGACATAGCAGCGACACCCCCAACACCCCCCACACCACCTACACCACCCCCCAAAGCCCAAGGGAGCTGAACTCCTCCCATCCTGGAATTGAAAAAAAGGCCATTAATTATTAAAACAAAAGCGATTACGAGTATTGTAAGAGAATTCTAACAGAAATAAATGTTAGTTATAATATTATGATTTTAATATGTTCTACTGTGATCTGCATCTGATATGTTCTCACGGGTTCGAATTAAATTTTATTGAACAGTAGAAAAGTAATTTTGCTCCTAAGAGCAATACCCTATTAGATGCTGAAGAAATTTGCCAAATATAATACAATATCTGGTAGTTCCAGACATTATCATCTACAAACAAACAAACTAAGAAAACCTCTTAATAATATAGATGATTAAAAAAACATACCCCATATACTGTTGTTGGTATCCCGCAAACTGACCAGCGTAAGAATACCCCTGGACCCCTTGAACTCCTTGCAGGAAACCCCCCAACTGTTGAGGGTAGGTGTTGTACCAGTAGGACGCAGGGGGAACTCCCCCGGTGTATGCTCCGAATGGGCTGTACGCTGTGCCACTCAACTGAAATTGGTTAAAGTTAGTATATTAAATATTTATAATAATATTAGCAGAACCCGCGGCTTTGCTCGCACTAAACTACAATAAAAACTCAAAAAATGTAGGCTTCATACAAACTTTCATCCCCTATCTTACCCCCTTATGGAATGAATTTCGAAAAATGCTAAAATAAGTATTTATTTAATTGTATTGAAGGCCATTAATACTAAGTTTCGAGTAATTCTGACCATAAATAATTTGTTGGGTTGTATTATAACGTGTTTTCCCGTGGGAATGAGATAATCTCCCGCGGTACAAAGTAGCCTATGTCACTCCATTTCGACGTGAAAGAAGGACAAACAAACACACTTTCACATTTATAATATTAGTATGGAAGTATGGATTAATAATTTATACAGATAAATAAAATTGAAGTGTCTGTTTTTAATGTCAAAATAACAGCTTTTTACCAAGTTCATACGGTACTTATAAAAAAATACAATTTTTAAGATGTTTGTCTATCTGCTTGTTTCGGCTAATCTCCGAAACGGCTGGGGTAATTTTGACGAAGCTTTCACTGGCAGATAGCTGATGTTATAAGGAGTGACTTAGGCTACATTTATTTTAGAAGAAGAATTAGGGTTCCGCTCAAAAAATTAAAACGCACCTACGGACGCACCCGAACGAAACGAGTAGATAATAATAAATCATTTATTGCAGGCAAAAACCTCAAATATTGTAGAATAATATTATAAGTATTCATTTTCTGTTCTCCCTTCGATGAACAGAAAGCCAATATGAAAAAATGTATTGTAAGATAGTTTTATTTAAAATGTCAAATATTCGCGTAAATCTAAGAAACTATTAAGTGGTCTCAGAGGTGCTAGACATCCCAAGTTGAACCCGTTTCACTTGGTTTTCCAAGCTAGCACGTTACCACTGGGCTACCACGTCTTACATATTTTAATTATATTTATTTCATTTTTAGGCGAATATCAATTTTATGAATTCCAAAAACCATTTGTTGTCAATATCGTCCTAATCTTTAAAATCGCTTCATTTGCATCAAAATAAACAATGAATTTTAGCACCAATATGTGTCAATATTATAACAATGTGTGTATGAAGGGGATAATCTCCAAAACAACAGGATCAAATTTATAATTTCTTTCGCAAATAGAAAGTGAAAATGTCTTAGAGTAACTTAGGATGTTTTAATATATGTAAATTGCAATATTTTGTATTTATAAGCTTCACAGTAAACTATACCTACTATATAATCGAATCTTGGCAAACGATTTTTCGTTAAGAAAGAAATGAAAAATATTGAAGTTAGTGACATTTAAGGATAGAAATAAGGAAATTGATATTTAAGCTTCATTTTATATTGCCGATGGGAAGTCCCATCGCACTGCTTAAATTATTAGGAAAGCCCCGCGACTAAAGCTATTATGAAAGATGTGAGTATCTATTTCATTGCTATTCCCGCAGGATATTTTTATGGGCCAAAAATGGTTTTATATTGACTATTAGGTAACACTAGGGAACTTTGCTTTTTCAACTGTCCCAACATTGCACTTTACCACACCACAAAATGGTGTAATGCCTGTGGCGGAGAGCTAGCATTGACGTGGTGGGTTACCACGGCACCGGTTTTAGCATCGCCAGAGTGCTTGTGAGTGGCTTTTCCCATTATTACGTAGATACACTACTTCCACCCTTTCAAGCAGTTGGCAAGTCAGAGGCCGGAGGCAGATGATGTTTCCTCCTGAAGACGAGGTCCGTGGTGTTACCCTCGCCACTCACCAGAAGCTTACTACAAGTTCTACTTCGGGCTTATTTTATAAGGGCCAATTAACACTATAGTGAAACGTTGCTGGATGTGGGTGTGATATGGCAGGGTGTGTGAATGCTCTTATTATTTTATGTATAAAAAAACTTTTACTAGACCGATAGGGTCCGGGGCAAGAACGAACCATGATCAGGCACTATAGCGTGGGTTGGGCCTTATCATCTACTATAGGCGAATATTCATTTAATTATTTAATAGCAACAATCCACAGGTCATTAATGCGTTAGCAAATCAAAAATGTACACATATATAAGTGATTCGCATCGATTTCCTCACAAAGATTTTACATTGACAGCAGTAAATACGTGAGAGCAATAAAAATGTCTTGTCTGTCGCACGGTTATTTTTCATCCCGAAAAAAACAGTTTTACGCGGGATGGAAAATGGCTGAAATTTTTAAGCGGGATTTTCGCCGATATTTAAAAAGAATGTAATATATCATTTGATACTAAATATTTCTTTTTGAATTGACGTGTTCGCAAACAGGACAGAAGTTTTATGATTTTTTTTGCACGACTTGGTAGAAATACGATAGTAATCTGTTAGTTCAAATGTTGAACTTATTTTGATTCATAGGTAAATTAAAATAAAAAAAAATTAAAATTAAACCTATAAGCAGTACATGAGTACAAATAAAAAAATTCAGACAAGTGCGAATCTGACTCGCGCGCTAAAGGTTCCGTAGTATGAAACATAAAAAAAGTTTATAATCGCAAAAAAAGAACTACAAATTTACGGTTTGCTGATTTTTCTCTATACTTGGTATATAAAACAAATTTCATGGTTCTCGGTCATCGGGAAGTACCCCATTAGTTTCGATTCCCTTGCAAATGACAAAATATGCGGCATAAACAGTCGTATCTTTTGATTGCGTCGACTTAGAAGTTTGATTTTTTCACAGTTCCAAGGGATTCTAGACCTGAGTATTTGATATTAATTTTAACTGATACCTCCACGGGTTCCTGAGAAAAAGGGTCTTAACAGACAGAGACAAACGGACAACGAACTGATCCTATAAGAGTGCCTTTCCATTTGAGGTACGGAACCCTAAAAATAACTTAATGAAACATAGATTAAAAAAATCATTAAAGAGTTCAAAACTGCAGAAGGCCCAATAAAGTCGGAGTGGTTTACATTATTAATATCATCTGTAGAATAAAATTGTAAGTAAGCACAATCTGTACATTAAATATTTCTTAGAAAATCATATTGAAATACCTAGTCATCATTATTATCGATATTGAGACCGAATCTATAGTTATTAGAATCTCTGTCTGTCTGTCTGTGACCTCATCACGAGAAAACCACTGGATAGATTTTGGTGAAATTCGGTATGATGACAGCTGGTTATCCGGGTCAACATATAGGATACTTTTTGCTGCGGGAAAATATCTCAACTCTGAGAAATCTATACTAAACGTTAAAACGTAATAAGGGACGAATCCGAGCGGAGTGAGGGTGAGGCCCTAGTAAATTGCTAAAACTGAATATTATGTAATAAACATTAAGAACACCGTATTTTTCTTGAATAAATTAATTACATCTCAAAGATCCCCAGAGACTGGAACATTTCTTAATCAAAATTTCGCTTATTACTTATTAATATATATATGAATAATTAATTTTAATTAGAAGCATTAAGGTGTTTTGTTTCGTCAGATATTTAAATTATATATTAACTCTGTGGCGTTATTTCAATCGACTTCAAAAACGGAAAGAGGTTGTGGCGAAACAAAAATTGTTTGAAGTTATACTTCTCTTGGTGCGTTATGAAAAATGAATGTTGAGAGTCAATTGACTTGAATTGAGAGGCTGAATCTATAGTTTTAAGAGTTTTTGTTTGTCTGTATGTTTGGGAACGCATCACGAGAAAACCACTGGACAAATTTTGATGAAATGTGGTATGATGATAGTTGGTTATCCGGGTCAACATATAGGATGCTTTTGAGTGCGGGAAAATACCTCATCTCTGAGAAATCTGTACTAAACGGTAAAATGTACCAAGAGACGAACCCGAGCGGAAGGAAGGGTGAGTCGCTAGAATAAAATAAAATAACAATAGAATAATAGTTTGTAGTTTTAAAACATATTTTATTTTATCAACTATATTTTTTAAATGTAGCTAACAATATATTTTTATATCTAAAGGTATACACTAGGTAAAGCCTGTATCGTGAGTACCACAAGTCGATTGACAAAACCAATATTGTTGCTCGATAAATATTGCTCGCAAAAGTTATATAAGATAAACAAACAATCTTAATGAGAAAAGTATTGCTTACGTAAAGTAAAACATTGTAATCCATACTAATATTATAAAAGTGAGAGTGTGTTTGTTTGTCTATCTGTCCGTCCGTCTCTCCGTACGTCCGTTTGTTTGTTTGTCTGTCTGTTTGCCCTTCTTTCTCTTCGAAACAGAGTGACAGATCGCCGTAATTTTTTGTGTGGAGATTAGTTGGAGGGCTGGAGAGTGACATAGGCTACTTTACCGCGGGAGATTATCTCATTCCCACGGGAAAACACGATATAATACACACTCACAACATACCTATGTATATAGATATACAAGTATATACTAATATTATATAAAAAAAGCCTATTTATTCCGTATTATTTAATATTATAAATGTGAAAGTTTGTGAGTATATGGATGTTTGTCATTCTTTCACGCCAGAACGGCTGAACGGATTTGCATTAAATTTGGCACAGAGATAGATCATAGTCTGAAATGATATATAGGCAATGATTTATTTTTCTAGACGCGAAATCGTGCGAAGCGAGGGTGAGCCGCTAGTAACAAAATAAAAAAATCGAGGATGGATAGATGGATGTTTGTTACTCTTGCTCGCCAGAACGGCTAAACGGATTTAGATGAAATTTTTCACAGAGATAGATTATAGTCTGGAATAGCACATCGGCTACTTTTTATCCCGAAAAAATATACGGTTCCCGTGGGATAGCTTTTGTTTTTGAATGAGTTGCTTGTAGATTATATAACTAAAGCGCATCGACGTACAAGCGAAACCACGAACAAAAAGTTACGCCCTAACCAAAAATACACACAAAAATCGCATTTAAAAAGGTCAAAAACAATTTGAAATATTAATGCTGCTAGCAATTATAGATTAATTAAAAGCATCGACTCTAAGCATCTGTTGTAACAGGTCGTAAATAATGAATGGTAATTTGACAGTCTCCTGGCCGAGTTCTTTTTGATGCAAATTTCGTAATGGAAGAGGCGGCAAGTGTCTTGCATAAATAATAAATGGGTCTAAAGTTGTTTTCAATATTGTACGTTAGTTAGTATTTTCTGAAGTGTTTTTACAAAATTATATACTTAATTATTTAGTTTGTTGCTAGCAATATTCTTTGCTTTAAACTTTTTATATTGTACTAGCAGCTCATCCTCGTTTCGCTCGAGTTCGCCCTTGGTTGATTTACATACAAACTTCCATCCCAATTTTTACCCCCTTAAGGGATTATTTCCGGGATAAAAGATATCCTATATCCTTCCCAGGGTCTCAAACTATCTTCTTATCAAATTTCATCTTCGATCAAATCGGTCGTCTTTGAGTAGTTTATGAGTTTATTCGTTACAAGCACAAAAATACAAGTCTTTTCTCTTGATAATAGTAGTGTAGACTAACTCGACGGTATAGACTAGCATTATGGTTGCACTTCCGGATGTCCTGATTCGAGTTTCGGGGCCAAGCTTAGTCAATCGGATTTTTTGTTAAGGAATTCTCAGCAACAACTCGGAGTTGGGAAGTTGAGAGTTTGAGTCCATTGGAATATGAGAGTGAAAAGAATAGAAAGTGTACTTGTGTATGTATTGGCTAGTCTCAGTGAGATTGGCAGACGTGCGAGACCCGGGATTTGAACCAACTTCATTTGCTTTTTTAAGCGACCATGTTACCACTGATGTGTTTTGTATAATTACATATAAAATATAGAAATATTAATTTGCAAAAAAATCCATCTATTATCCTCAACGCATACACACCATACACAATAGGAATTTATTGACAAAAAGACGCAATAACTTCACCTGAGACTAGAACCCACGACCTCCAGACCTGCTATCGTAAAGCTGGCTACAAAGCCAGTTACTATAACGGTGTCTTATAGAACAGCCCTTTTAGAGCAGATAAATGTTTTGAAATCGATTTTATCTTCGCGACAATGTTATCAGCTATTTTACCAATTAGCGCTAAACAATAGATCAAAATGGCGTAATAACTTGTTAATCCCTCTCTGTTTATCTATACAATATATAAGCAGAATTTATCTATAAGATATATGTTGGTACAATAATACACAGTACCATCTAGTTCCATAGTAAGCTACGAGGCCTGTGTTATGGATACCAGATAGTTGATACACTACACATATATAACTTTAAATATATACATATTATAAATATAAACACCCATGACTGGAGTACAAGCATTCGTGCTCATCACACAAATGAACACACCCAGCGAGACAAGAACCCGTGATCGCTGGCACAGCAAGTAGAGTCACTACAAACTAAGCCAAACGTGTCATCAAATAAATGTATAGAAACATGCTTGAAATATATTATTCACGATTTAGAATTTTAAAAAATTTCATAGGAAAATAATCTTCTTTTCCATTTCTGAAATATCCGCCGTGACAAGGATTTAAGTCAGAAAATTCAAACTAAGAAATGCTTTGGTAAACGTAATCCTTTTATATTGACAATTTTATCCTTTACAATACTAGATTTTGTACGTGGCTTTACCTGACAATGTAAACAAAACTTAAAAAAAAATCCTATATCTCGGAAACGGCTCTAACGATTTGGATCAAATTTTGTATTTAGATAAGCGATTGTATTTTAAGTATATCCATATACCTGCCTTATCTGCAGAAACGCTATTTTTATATCTTTTCCCTTCTCTCTTATACTAAGCTTTTGATAAGAGCTTTCATATTTTTACGACGTCTAGCTTTTACGTGCAAAACCTATAAGCTTACCTGCCACTTTATGAGCTTTTTTATATATTTTCTATCAAACAGATCATGTCCTTCGCTATATGACCATATGGTAAGTGAAGCTAAAATTGTTACTTTGGTCTCACTTAACTGATTAGAGTACAGCTCGAAAAAGTTTTAAGTTTTAGATCATTTTTATATAATAGCTAGCGACTCACGATTGCTTCGCTCGGGTTCATCCCTTTGTACGGTTTAACGTTTAGTATAGATTTCTCAGAGATGAGATATTTTCCCGCAGTAACCTATATGTTGACTTGGATAACTAACTATATATAATAAAATTGTAATCGATTCGAATCTGCCCCATAAATATTTCTTGGAAAATCTTATTGAAATAGTCATTATGATCGAATAGAGAGAGAGATAGAATCGAGAGGCCAAATCTATAGATTTTTTGAATTTTTGCCTGCCTTTCTGGGAACACATCACGAGACACCACTGGATAGATTTTGATGAAATTTGGTATCACGATAGCTGGTTATCCGGGTCAACATATAGGATACTTTACTGTGGGAAAATATCTCTGAGAAATCCATACTAAATGTTAAAACATAACTAGGGACGAACCCGAGTAGAGCGAGGGTGAGTCGCTAGTTATAGATAAATATAATAATAATATTAAAAGATTTAATCCAATTTGGCAGATTCATTTTCAATTATCAATGCACCCGAAAGTCGTGGCAGACACGAGACCTGTGGATTTTTTGTTGGGCTTTGTCTATATAATTATTTAATCTGAATTCCGAAAATTAGTAATAGTTTCAAATCTCACAATCAAAATCCACTCAAAATTTCAACGTAATCTAATAAAATATAATCACGTTACCAAACGCTTTGTACCCTTCTATTGACACTCTGTAGCCCTTTTCAAATATGAAATACAAAATATGTAGACAGAGGATTATGGAATGCTTGTTTAAACAAAACCTGTTAGACCCGAAAAGGTTTTTTAGTCAATATTAGCTAATTACTTTATATAATTAGGATGAGTACAAAAAAATTTGGAGGTATGCGAAAATTTTCAGCTAACTCTAAACGAATGTGGAATGCGAAAAGCTTGCTTCGGGTCTTCTGCAGTAGCAAATCGAATTGATTGCTTAAGGCGTAGAGCAAGAATTTCGACGCAAGAATAGGGAGTATGCGTGTGATTTAAATAAAGGTGAAATTTTTTTTATAATCTTTACTAGCGGCTCACCCTCGCTTCGCTCGGGTTTGTCGCTAAGTACGTTTTAAATATATATATATATATGTATAAATAGTTATTACTCAGCGTTAGCCATGTAAATTTTAACATGGTTGTTAAGTCTTCTTCTTCTTCTCCCTGCCCATTTCCCAATTACTTGGGGTCGGCGCAGTACATCCTCTGTACTGCTGAAAGGTTGTTAAGTATTCTTAAATTTTATAGTTTCCCGCGCAATTTGTTAAATTTTTTCTTTCATTAGAACCTTCTCCTGACAATAACAAACACAACAAAAAAAAGTTAAATCGGTCCAGCGACTCACTCTCGCTTCGCTCAAGTTCGTCCCTAGGTAAGTTTTAACGGTTGGTATGGAATAGATGGACTATATTATTATGATATACAAAGGTATGTTGAGTTTTATATCTCTTACTCGAGAAATGATCGATTCCCCAAACAAACTTTTATCCACCTTTTCACCTCCTTATGGGATGATTTCCGGGATAAAAACTTATGTTTTTTCAAGGTTTTCAAACTATCTTAGTACCAATCATCAAAATCGGTTTAGCGAAGTTTTAGTTTCATGACAAACAAATACACAAACTTACATTAGTATAGACTATAATATTAAAAAATGTTCAAATTGGATTTTCAGAGCAATTCCAGAGATAAGAGCGTTCAAATTAATACAAAAGAAAATTTCATCAGCTTTATGATTAGACTACTATCTTATCTTATAATATTAAACGAGCAATTCTTGTATATATACCTACATAAGTTTATTTCGTGTATCTCAAAAACGGATTCAACGATTTGGATCAAATTTTGTATTTAGATAAGGGTTTGCTTTTAAAGTTTAGCTATATAGGCGAACTTCGACGACACATTTGGCTCAGATTGTGTGAGTGACCCTATTTCTTGTCCCAGCGGTCGCAGGTTCGAGTCCCGCTGGGGGCATTCAATTGTGTGATGAGCACGAATGTTTATACTCCAGTGATGAGTGTTTATATTTATAACTTTGCTCAGTAGTGCACAGCATTCTAGCCGGGCGCGAAGCCAAGAAAGGCACAGGGAGGTGGCCCATCTCAATAGGCGGTATAACATGCGGGTTGCTCCTGGTACTCTCTCTTCTGATAGAGAGCAACCCCATGGTTGTTGTGCCGTCGGGGCGACGTGGTTGAGTGCGCAAGCGTTCCTGCGACGCACCATTAAGATGGGGGAGGTTCCGTTGGGTTTTAGTGAGTAGTACTGGCTTTGCCAGTGAGTCCCACACCTCGTGCCTAAATCCATTTACTGAGAAAAAGGTACCTAAGGACGCACCCAAGCGAAGCCAGGGTAAGTAGCTACTAGCTAGTATTAGTATATACATATTAACTGACCTGTCCTTGAGTTTGTGCGTTATTGGGGTCTCCTGACTCCTTCCCCCAGGAACACTTCACTGGTTGCCCGTTAACATCAGTGTTGTGAACGGCGACGATGGCGTGCGTCGCACTTTCTTTCGTTGAGAATCTGCCAATATTTAGAGAGCTTAGAAAGAAAATCTGAAAAAATACATGGAAATGAAATATTGTAATTCTAAGACCACTATGGAATTCGTTATTTCAATCATCGATCAAAAAAGTACTAGATAGTGTAACCCCATGCGAATGTTTCATGAAATGGCATCAATGAATAGGTTATTGTGTTGGATTTTTAATTTAAGAGTTATAAATATAATCTATACAAATAAATAAAATTGAAGTGTCTCTTTGTAATTTCAAAATAACAGCTTTTTTCTAAATGTATATGAAATTATATACAGTACTTATAAGAAAAATACAATCTATACATATAATAAAATTGTAACTAAGCCGAATCTGTACATTAAATATTTTTTGGAAAATCTTATTGAAATAGACATTATTATCGATACAGAGTCTGTCTGTCTGTCTGTTATCGCAAATTTGGTATGATGATAGCTGGTTATCCGGTTTATCATATAGGATACTTTTTACTGCGGGAAAATATGTCATCTCTGAGAAATCTATACTAAGCGTTAAAAAGTTAGTAGGGCGTTTGTAGAGGAGGGAGGGTGAGTCGCTAGTTTTAAATATTTTTGTCAGTCTGTCTATCTGTTTGTTCCAGCTAATCTCCTAAATGAACGAAATAGCCGATAGCTGATGTTATAAGGAGTAACTTTTATTATAGAAAAATAATTAGAATTGTGATCAAAAAAATTAAAACATACCTAGTAGACGCACCCGTGCGAAGCGAGTCTTAAGTCACAAGTTATAATTATAATTTCTATTATTCCTCAATGAGTACAGAAAGACTTTCTGTCTGAACACTTACGTTAATAAATAAGATACGGTTTAGATAAATTATTTATCCTTATAACGATCTATGTACTTTATTGATTTGATTTGTGTAATTACTTTTGGGGAGGCTTTTACTCAACCAAATACGATTTGACCTAAAAATTAGGTTTTATTTGGTCAATATTTAATTTCTTAAAGTATCCTTCTGAATAAAACATTGTTTGTAGACATTAAACATGTTTAAGTTACCTCATATATTACTAGATTTATCAAAACTACTACCCATACTACATATATATATATATATATATATATATATATATAGCATTACCCGTGGCCACGTTCAGATGACCAAAAAGCAAATTCTTAGGTTTTACATATTAGTATACTCTTACATTGCAGTTTTTGTATTTTCTCTCAAAAATGAGATATTTTTCCGCGGTAAAAAGTATCCTATATGTTAACCCGGATAACCAGCTATCACCATATAAAATTTCATCAAAATCCCTCTAGTGGTTTTTCTGTGATGCAGTAACAGACAGACAGACAAACAAATATTCTAAAAACTATAGATTCGGTCTCTGTATCGATAATAATGTCTAATTCAATAAGATTTTCCAAAAAATATTTAATGTACAGATTCGGCTCAGTTACAATTTTGTTATATGTATAGATTATATTACTCATATACCTTTTTAACTAGACCGTGGAAAAAAGTCTATATTCAATACCAATATTTACAGCGAGCAAGAATCGAACTTGTACATCTGGAGCACAAGGACTACATGCCAAGACCTCATCTTCCCAAAGTAACCCAGAGTTGAATATCTTTAAAATATAGGAACAATAGATAAAAACATACATAAGAAATAAAAAAATATTAATCCCTAAGCAAAAATTCGATTCTCCCATACAAAGCGACAAATATTTGTATGATGACCAACAAAAATTTGCGTTCGCATAACATATATGCATTAACTTTTGTATACTTCGATTAGTTATGATGGCAAAAAAGATACCTAATTTACCTGATGAAAGCATATCCTTTGTCCTTAAAAACTCTGATCTCCTGAATAGTCCCAAACGGTTGGAAGGTCTTCTGCATCAGCTCCTCAGTCAGGCCTGTGGTCAGACCACCGCAGTAGACCGTGCAGTTTGTTGGTGAGCTCTGGTTGTAGACCTCATCAAACGTCAGTGGCTTCGAGTTTACTGGAACAATAATAGTTATTTAGCTACATATATTAATATTAGTGATATGTTCTTTCTTGGTTTCAGGGCTCGAAAATTTTTAACCGGTTTTAGTCATTGACCCAAAACTGAAAGGCTTTTCGGTTACGTTTTTTAATCGGTTATAGCCCTGAGAACGGTTTTTAACGAATTTAGGTTCCATGACCGAAATTAAACAGTTAAAATTAGTTTTTACGCGTTTATAGTTGCCAAATCTTTGCTAATTATGAATTGCTTAGTAGAGGGTTACATGTACGTTTCTTATTTATGAATGAGTTAACCGGTTTATTTCATATTAAAACCTAAGTCTAACCTTTCTCTTAAAATAACTGTTAACAATTATTATTTCGGTTTATTAAACCGTTTTTATTAACCGGTTAATGAACGAATGAAAAATTACATAACAATACCGAAATTAATCGTCTTTTTAAACCGGTTCTGAGCTCTGCTTGGCTTAAAGCTAAATCTTCCGACTTCAAGGAAATATTTGCAACACTATAACATTCCACAGGAAACACTTTTTTGTTTACAAAAGGCAAAAACGACTTTCCATCTCATAATGTGACAGGTCATAATAAAATTACCTTGTCACGTAAATTAAAAGAGGGCATTTGCATAATAAAACCTGCGGTGTTGAACGTGAAAGCTTTTGTTTTTGTTTTGGTGTTTATTAAAAACGATACATACATACATACATACACAGTGCGTTGAAGATTACAGCAAGTTATGTATGCCAAGTTTCGAGGAAACGACCCTTGCAATGTGACTTTTTCAACTTCAACACCTAATTCTGGTCTCTGGGGGATGGTTTTGGAAAATTATGAATGTTGTGTTTTTATTTCTTTTCATTTGTTTTCAAGAATACGTTCACCAAGTTTCAAGGGACGACATCTATGGAACAAGATGTATACGTGGATCATACAACCTGAAGACATTTACACAACAAGATAAATATGTAGGTCATACAATCTCTAATCCATTTTACTCCCATAGATAGGGGTTGAATGTTGATATAACCTTTTCCAACACTAATTAGTCTTTAACCTTATGATATTCTTTAAGTAAATGTAAGTAAATAAATATGTTGGTACATTAACACACAGCACGCTGCAAGCTATCCTGGCCTGTGCTATGGATACCAGATAGTTGATACACTACACATATATAACTTTAAATACATTTATATTATACACTAATGACTAGTCTAAAAATTCGTGCTCATCACACAAATGAACACCCCAGCGGGACTCGAACACGCGACCGCTGACACAGCAAGTTGGGTCACTACAAACTAAGCCAAACGTGTCGTCTGTCGTCTTTGACTTGATAAACTAGTCCCGCTGAGTTTCTTTCGCCAGATCTTGTCAGATTTGAGGCTTCTTCTTTCCGAAATGGTAGTACACTCACGTTTAGTAAAAAAAATATAATTTAATGCTGAATAAAATAATTAGAATTTTCAAATCGGATTAGTAGTTCCTGAGATTTTCGCGTTCAAACAAACAAACTCTGCCTCTTTATAATATTAGTATTATTAGTGTGGATTAACGTTATATAACTTTCGAGTTGGGAAGTTGGCGATGTTACACCCCTTTGTTCCGGAAAGCACGTAAAGCCATCGATCTTGCGTCTGATTTCTTACCGCAAGAGTCGAATTTTCCTCTCACAGGGGTTTGGGAGTAAGTGGAGTAAAGTGCACAAACAGTGTAGTGGGATAGCAAATATTTGATTAATGAAATGAAAATATTTACATTCAAATTGACTTTTACAAGTATTTTTGAATCTTCTATTATTTTTAGCCGACAACACAAAAAGAGGAGAGTTATAAGTTTAACGTATGTATCTGTGTCTTTGTTTGTGGCATGAAACGTGTCTTTGAGAGTGTTTTTAGCTATAAATGAAGAAAATCTGTTCAACCTATACTTCAATGATATTGCAACGATATGGTAACCTTGGCCTGATGCTGCAGCATCATCTGGAATCTGCAAGATACTCACCTCTTTACTAAAACACTGCAGAAATCGTGTTTAGACTCATTGAAATGGATTCAATAAATAGATAAGTGTTCAGAGTTTTTCAATTGGTTATATAAGAGTTTTGCATTGTTTTAACACGAATTTAAGATGTATTTTACTATGTACGTCAGTGTGGAAGCTGCCATCGGTTTGGAAAGCAGTTCTGCTGAGAAGATAATTACTCATATACCCGTCTAAAGTAAATACTTATATCAAAAACAAGTAAATCTTTTGAAGGATTGTTATTATTACATATATTTCTGTACAAATTTTAATTTCCGCCAACTAATGCCTTCCGGATCCGCTAAGCTTTAACGATATTAATCCCTCTCCCCTCCCCCGATGTGTTCACTTTGTCGTAAGGGGTGGACCGAAAGAGCAACCCCTTGGTTGTATAGTCTACTTAGACAGACCCCATAAGACGGGGGAGGTTCTGTTGGGTTTAAATGGGTGGTCCTGGTTTTTCTAGCCGGTGAGTCCCCCATAATACGTTTCCCCGTAAATGTGTTTACTAACATTAAAAAAAGGCTTCGATACTCTGATTATTTAATATTAACATTAATTATATATTATAAACATCATTCCCCCACTGAATTCTACTCGTATATTATACGAACAAGATCCCAGCGCTTCTCAAATTTTTTCACAATTAAGAATAATTAAAATTAAGTGTTCTTCAAATAAATTCAAAATGAAATTCTAAAAAATTATCTTCTTTATAATTTTAATGGAACATTTTACTTTTTATGTATTTTTTAAATCATTTTGAGACCACTAATTATATATATGAAAAAATAGGGAAATTGGTCTTAATTAAACTTTATAGTATACTAACATTGCCCGCGGCTCCGCCCGCGTTCAGATGATCAAAAAGCGAATTCTTAGGTTTTACATATTAGTATACTCTTACAATGCAGTTTTTGTATTTTTTCTCAGAAATGAGATACTTTCCCGCGGTAAAAAGTATCCTATATGTTGACTCGGATAACTAGTTATCACCATACCAAATTCCATCAAAATCCCTCCAGTGGTTTTTCTGTGATGCGGTAACAGACAGACAGACAAAAATTCTAAAAATTATAGATTCGGCCTCTGTATCGATTATAATGTATATTTCAATAGGATTTTCCAAAAAATATTTAATGTACAGATTCGGCTTAGTTACAATTTTATTATATGTATAGATATAGACAATAGAAGTTTGTATAAATAATAAATATCACTAGCGACTCATCCTCGCTTTGCTCGGGTTCACTGTCATAGCCTATGTATTACTCCAGGTCACAGTCTATCTGTGTAATAAATTACATCTAAATCGATCCAGCCGTTACAGAATGAAGGAGTAACAAACATACAAACTTTTATATTTATAATAGTATGTTTTACACTTAAGCAATACAGAGCAAACTCTTGTAAATACCTGAAGATAGCTCTTGCGATCAGATTTGAGGAGGCCTAAATCATATTACGAGTTCGACGTTCCTAACCCCAAATTCAGATGGAATGTTTCCTACACTATTGATGTACAAACAACTGGCGGGTACACATTTCATCGCTTTAATCACTCATGCTTCTAAATCTATACATATAATAAAATTATAACTAAGCCGAATCTGTACATAATAATTCAATTAACAGAAAAAAATGATTACGATAATATTTTATAATATCCATAATATTATGAATGTGAAAGTGTGTTTGTTTGTCTTTCTTTCAACTTCGAAATGGAGTGATGGATTGGCGTGGTTTTTGGTATGAAGATAGTTGGGAGAGTTGGAGAGTGACATTGGTTACTTTTTACTGCGGGAGATCATCTCATTCCCATGGGAAAATACGTTATAATACAACCAAAAAATATTATGATCAGAATTACTTGAAACTTGATATCAATACTCTTCAATATAATTAAATAAATAATTGTTTTAGCATTTTTCGAAATTCATCCTATAAGGAGTAAAATAGGGGACGAAATTTTGTATGAAACATATTTTTTATATAGATTTTTTTTGTAGTTTTAGCGCGAGCGAAGCTGCGGGTTCTGCTAGTATAAATATAAATAATAGATATAAAGATAGCTATTTCAAAATATCTCTAAAATCTTTTAGCATTATCTCGCTTTGTGAATGCGAAATGAATTTTACGCTTAATTTATCAAAGTTTGAGAACTACTTGCGGTTTCTTTAACTTCAAAGTTGGTTTTAAAACGTTTTACTTTAAAATATGAAAATCCTTTGGTGTAGTGGTTAGAAAGTTTGAGGGTCGCTGGATCGACTTTTGGTAAAAAAACACTACATTGTCGCGTAATTTATATTTTTAATATCCATTTTGTAGCTTAAAGTGAATGAATATATGTATATGTAGGTATCACAGAAAGGCCTAGGCTGAGCTAAACATAAACGTACGCTTATTGTTAAATACTTTCTCAAATAGTTTTACTCGTATTTAAACGGCTGAGCATATTGACGACACGTTTGGCTCAGTTTGTAGTAACCCTACATACATATTATAAATATAAATACCCATGGCTGGAGTACAAACATTCATGCTCATCACACAAATGAATACCTCCAGCGGAACTCGAACCCGCGACCGCTGGCACAGTAAGTAGGATCACTACAAACTGAACCAAACGTAAAAATTTTATGTATATTAGTCGTACAGTAACTGGATTAGTGGTCATTTCCTGTTAATATGAGTAATAGTAAAACTTTTTTTTCGGATTTTTTTAATAGGATCGACTCCCCCGTCACCACGATTGCTATAAAACATTAGAAACGTCGGGAACAAAAAATCTAAATAAATTCGCAAAAAATCCGAAGAATTATTTAAAATTTCGCTTCTTGTTTGTCAAAACTCTACCTTTAGCATTTCGAAAAAAATACCTCAGTAAGTCCTGAAGAAAACTATCCAGAGAGACCCGGCACTGGTTACCTGGTCATCCACCAGGACATAGCCAAAGAAAGTAACAAAACTTGTGCTTAATAACTCATATATGAGTGCATGTGTTTGTGTACACATGTGTGTGCGTTTGTTAATATATTTTTATTGAAGTGAAACTTCTTTAGAATCGTTGTGATTTGAAGCTCTATGAAACAAAAATGCGTCACTAAAAAGAGACAAACACATAAATATATAGGAATAAGCCGGCGAGAGAATGAGATAGAACACATTGTCATGTCGCCATGGTAACCGTTGTTATTGTCTGACAAATATATAATATTATATTATTTCCGTATATGATTTCATATATTCTATAAATATATGATTGTAATATGCCTAAAATGCCCTATTTATTGATTTGATTTAATTTTTGCCAAATATTTGCCAAATAAGTTTTACTTCAACCACGCGTAAAGGTTACACGCACCTATTTTTTTATCAATTATTATTATTATTAATTAAAGAACGGTATATACTTACATTCATTTTTCGGCGCAGGCGGCTTCCTCGTAGCCCAATTGGTTCTGATAGATCGCGACCCCAGCCACTGGCCATTCATCGCAGTTATTGCGGACTCGGCTTCCTAAAAAGAACAATGGATATTAAAAATCAGTCACATTTTCGATAAATCCACCTTTTGTGGACTTCTTTAAAATTCAATATTGCAATGTAAATTTAAAATGTAGCAAATTGTAACAATATAAATCTATATATGGATCTGTAGGTTTATTGGTATAATTTCCTCTTAACTCAGCGATTAAGAGAGCAATAGTTGAGTTTTTTGCTAGCTTTACTCAGCAGAACTGGTTTTCGAGGTAGTGGTAGTTTAAAAACTAGTCCTATTCTATCCTTACCTATCCTGTCTTATCCCTTCCTACCTCCTATCCTATCCTACTAATATTATAAACGCGAAAATTTAGAGGACGGATGTATATCCGTTACTCTTTCACGTAAAAATGTATAGATATAGTCATACATAATAGAAATACGCAGGCACAGCCGCGAGATAACGCTAGTTGGGAGATAAAATTCCAAAGCATAATGATCTCATTATAATTTTATTATACGTATATAATATACTCGTATATCTATGTAGATATGGGAATATTGCATCAGTCGTTCTGCGTGGGACTTCGTCACGTGTGCATATTGATCATGGTTAATGTTGGCGGTAAGTGTCCCAGTGGTATAGTGGCTAGCATGTATCCGTAGATCCTGGATTCGAGACCTGGCTTGGGTCTAGCGCAGATAGATTATAGACATATATTTTAGATTTTTCTTAGGAATTGATCAGAAATAGATCAGAGTCCGGAAGCGATCGGTTCTGTTCCTAATCTCTTACTGATCGTGATGAATTCACCACAAGACTTCGAGAGGGAAAATAATATAAGTACTGTCTATCTGTTCATTTGTGCTATACCTAATATCTCCTGAAGTTGACTAGTACCATAGTATAGTCAGGGGGATATTGTTTTGATGGATATGAGCAGATTCCCTACCGAAAAGTTGCAGAACTGACATCGTCCAATAAACTCACTATTTAGTCTGTATTGTATGTATTAACGTATACATTAAAGTATCTATATACTATTAATATAATACTAATATTATAAAGAGGAACGAATTTTTTGTTTGTTTGTTGGTTGTACCGAATAAGATCCAAAACTACTGAACCGATTTAGATGAAATTTAGTAAAAAGATAGTTTGAGACCCTGGCAAGGACATAGAATAGTTTTTATCTCCTAAATCATCCCTTAAAGGGGGGGAAATGGGGATGAAGGTTTATATGGGGAAGCAACCTAGAGATGAACCTAAGCGAGGCGAGGGTGAGTCGCAAGTGACAATAAAATAAGCAAATGTACAAGACATGCATGCTGCCTCTCACTCTCAAATAACTTTTCAAACTAAAACGCACTCACTTTACACTAGAAACATACACAAATTTGAATTGCCTAAGACTCCAACCAAATATAGAAAAAAAAAATACTACATTTGAAGGAGCACGGCTTTACAAAGTCGAGTCAACAAGTGCCTTTTAGGTCAACTTTTTTTCAGCTGTCTCGGAAAAATATAAACGAGGTATACAGTACATTTTTCCGAGATAAAAGTAACCTTTGTGCTGTTCTAGACTATAATCTATCTCTGTACCAAATTTCATCCACATCCGTTCAGCCGTTCTGGCAAGATTGGGTAACAAACATCCATCCATCCAAGCTCACAAACTTTCACATTTATAATATTAGTATTGGATTGTGTTATTTCAATTTCCTAAATGTAAACGAACATAGTTTATTTTTGGGGAAATAATCATTTTTTACTTCATAATTATTACTGTTAGGTTAGTAATTATATCGTAAATTCTGAATGCAGGTAAATCTAGATTTGATTATTTTCTATGAAATATTAAAAAATTGTTAACAATTTATATTATGAGAGATAGCATGCACGACTGAAGTCTGAAATAGTATTATAATTATGCATTTTATGATACCATTACTGCCACATTTCACCCGGTAAGCAAATGAGTTAAGGACAATCTTACTTCGCATCTTAGACTATATTGATGTATACTTACTGATTTCTTTAAAAACGAGACGAAACCGTATCCCTTAGATTTTAGAGTCTGCGGATCTCGCACCACTCGGCAGTCCCTGGAACAAATAAAAAATATACATATATCTCTTATAATATCAAATGAGCAATTATTATATATATATATAAATTTACTAGACGTACCCGCGGCTACGCCCGCGTTTAATCTACAAAAAAAACTCTTTGTCTTTATGTTTTACTTGTGCTAAGTATAAGATATCACTTCTTGCCAAATTTCACGATTCTAGGTCAACGGGAAGTACCATATAGGTTTTGATTCCCTTGCGATTATCAAAATATGTGGCGTAAACGGCCGTATCTTTTGATTGCGTTCAAAGCTCCAAGGGATTGCAGACCTGATAGATAGACAGACAGACGGACAATGAAGTGATCCTATACGGGTTCCTTTTTTTCCTTGTAAGGTACGGAATCTTAAAAACTAACTGTTCTCAATTTTTTGCATTTCTGCCGATCTTCTTAGCAAGAGCCCAAGAAAAACTCAACTTTTGGTATCTTAAAAATAAAAGTATAATAATTTAATAGTATCTAAGACCTAATATCTAAGGAACTAAAATATTTTGGGTAAAATCAGGTCACATTCACCCTTAAAATCATTTCAGTTAGAAATGGAGCTATAAATTAATGGGAACTTCTAAAATCGACCGAATTCTTATCAAAAACCATTTACCACGTAAAATTGGATCCATTAGGCAGAGCAAAATATAATGTTCTAATGAATGAAAGAGATAGACTGCGTGTGAATGAGATGGCATTCAAAAAATACACAGCATATATCATGTCTTTGTCTATCTGTTTGTTACGTTTCCATTTTTAAGCCGCCGGACCAATTTTGATGAATTTTGGGAATTTGAGGAGTAGACAGATTGAACCTTTTCTTGCGAAAATAAAGCTTAAAAAGAGTGTTTATATGTAAGCGAAGTCGCAGGCAACACTAGTAAAGTTTGTATTAGTAAACAAAACACATCCCAAAACCCTCTTTTCCTCTGAGAGAAATAAAAAATTCAAACCCTACCAACAGTTTAATAAAATGTATCTGACACATCACGTATTTAATTCAGAAATATGGCTGTCTCGGTCACAATGAAATACTGCGTGCTTTTCTTAAATTGGAAAATATATAAACGATTTTTTATTAATATAGATAAGTAAAAATAACATATTACGGGGGTTCCGTATCACCTTATAATATGTTTTTTTTACTTATCAATATTTAAAAAAATGAAATACTGTTCATTGGCAAGCGCATGAATTTAGAACGGTAGAAGCGATATGGATAGTTTTTTAAAATGCGCGTATTAGTCCAAATCAGGTTCTCAGTGGGAAAAATTGAAAAAGTTCATAAAGTATTAGACAACAATCTAAAACAAAAAAAACTTTGCAAATTGTTTCTTATATAGCAATATGAATTAGGGAAGGGTTTGTGAAAATTCATTCCATAAACGGGTTGAATAGGAAATGCAAGTTTTTGCTCCTGGTACCTCCTGGTAGAGTGGACAGTGAGAGCAATTCTATGGTTGTTGTGGGCTGTTTTGGCAGGCAGCCGACAGGGCGTGATAGTTGAGTGCGTAAGCGAACCTACAACGGCCCATTAAGACCGAGAAAATTCTGTTGGGTTTTAGTAGGTAGTGTTAGTTCTTCCAGCCAGTGAGTTTACATGTAACCACCTGCTTTTCCCATCGTTAAAATAAAAAAAGGCAAAAAGCGACGATAGTTTGTATGGAAGCTTAGTTTGGAAATTAATGCCCATAGTAAACCCCATCGAGCTCAATGCATAATTTAGCAATATAATCAGCGATTGTATACGACTCAAACGTTCCCATTTTTTATTATTTAAATTACTTTTATAATCATTAAGGACTGTAAAAATATGTTTCTTTTATGGGACCTATTCTTTTTATTCTTCGCCATTGATTTTCTCTAGGACCCTAACACAAGCCTATTTGTTACTCCAGCTCATAGTCTATCTGTGTACTGAATCCGTTCAGCCGCTTCAGCGTAAATTAGTAACAAACATACACAGAAACTGAAATTTTTCTTATCTATACTTAATATTATAAAGAGGAAAGATTTTTTGTTTGTTTGTTTGTACCTAATAAGCTCCGAAACTCCTGGACCGATTGAGATGTAATTTGGTAAGAAGATAGTTTGAGACCGTGGATAGGACACGTCCTATCCACGGTCTCAAACTATGTGTATGTATAACAGTTTATATCCCGGAAATCATTCTTTAAGGGGGTGAAAATGGGAATGAAAGTTTGTATGGGAAATCAACCTGGGGACGAACCCAAGCGAAGCGACGGTAAGTCGCTAGTAGACTATAATATGCAAGTTTTTTTTAAACCCGACCCGTACTTACAGAGATAAGCTCGTAAAGACAAACTGTTTAACTTTATATATTAGTATAAAATCAATAAAGGTATCTGCAATCTAACATCACTCCGAAGCTTTTAGCGAAGCAATTATATATAAACTACTCGAGCAGATCCGCGGGCAAAAGTAATTTAATAAATGTTAGCTTTCTACCATCCTCCATATTAACTGTCACTATGCCAAAGCTCACACTCCTCCGTACGAGACATATGATTAAAAATGGGTACAAAGTTTTCTCTTCACAGCTACGAGTATATTATGTACATTATGGGTATAAATAGGCAAAGACAAAACAGAATACTTTCTTAGATTTACGCAAATATTTGACATTTTAAATAAAACTATCTTTTCGGATTTTTTCGCGAATTTATTATCGGATTTTTGGTTCCCGATTTTTGGTCACGGGAGAGTGAGGTGTTAGATGTTTCTAAGGCATTATATAGTTGTTATAGACAGCCTACCCACAAAAAACAAAATGAATTTAAACAAATTGAAAAATGGCACCAAAGTACCTTACAATATTTTTTAACTTATATAATTTTAGCTGTTATTATTATAATTATTACAATTTTAAAAATATAAATTAGTAATCTATATTTAGTGTTGCCATTATTAGGTATATTGTTGTATATGTATAATGTATATGTCTTAAGCGAAACAGTTGTGTAAAGAGTATATTTTTGTAACCTGAACCTTTTGCTACAAATAAACTATTATTATTATTAAGAAAGTGATGCTGTACTTCCTTTCTTACAAAGTTGGTTAAGCAACAAAAGGCTTAGTAGAAATTTATTATTCTATAAAACAATGTTGGCTCTAGTGACAGAAATTTCGAAGACAAATTTTAAGTGAGACGCGATTTTGGCACTTTGACAAAGTATGGGTAAGGGTGGAGCCCTAGTTAAAGCGGATACACTGTATAGTAGTTATATAAGTAACTTGTTAGAACAAGGTTTTGGTAATGGCTTTATTCATGTATTTTTTCTAAAATTTAATATAATATACCCTAAGTATATTAAGTCCTGCCTCAGTGGCCTAGTGGCTAGTGTACGGTTAAAGATCCGGATGGCCTGGGTTCGATTCCCGGGTCGGGCGAAGTTTAGTCATGGAATATTCTTCTTAACATTTTTTCAGTAACAACCCCAAGTTGGGAAGTTGGCGGTGTTTCACACCTATGCCGAGGCAGAGCACGTAAAACCGTCGGTCCTGCATCTTAACTCTGATTGGTCGTGTCGGGTAGTTGTCCCATCGAAGTATGAGAGTGACAGGAATAGAGAGTGCACGTTGTGTCTGCGCGTACACTTGTGCACTATAATATCTCCTGCAGTTGGCTAGTCTCAATGAGATTGGCAGCTGAGGCCCAAATCGATCATGAGGACATTATCATTATATTAAGTCCTAAGCCCTTCAGCTGCGCTTGGCTTTAAGCCAACATAAAAAAGCATTTTGTAACTGAAACTTGACAAAATGTATGTATGTGTTTAACAATTATGTATGTATACTTATGTGTATATTTATATAATTATGGTATTGATTTATTAACTTAAATGTTTATGTAGTAGTAGTGACTCACTCTCGCTTCACTCCGAGTTCGTCCCTAGTGAAAAACAAAAATAAATCTATCCCACGGGAAGTGTACATTATCCGGGATAAAAAGCCTATGTGCTATTTCAGACTATAATCTATCTCTGTGTCAAATTTCATCCATATCCGTTCAGACGTTCTGGCGTGATTGAGTGACAAACATCCATCCATCCAAACTTTTGTATTTATAGTATTAATGGAATTATATTTAAATATTCTCTCTGTCTGTTATTTCTCTTTCTCTTACTGTCCCGCTGCTTAACACTATTTCCGACTCTTCTTCTTCTGACTGGAAGAGATCTCTTATAGAGAAAAGTCTACCTACATATGTTCACTCTATATATTTTTTGTATTACTTATTTGCAGTAAAGGATATAATTAATAAACCGGTAGAATTTACTTTTACTTTATACCAATGTTGCACAAAAATCTCTTAATGGCCAAAATATATAAAAATATATTCGTTCTACATTCTGTTTCAGGGCTAAAAAAATATATACCAGTAAACCCATTGTCTTCCTTTCCCTAAAGTTTTACCCTGAGGTCTTGATTTTTGTCATGAACCAAGCCTTAAAATATAACATATTAGTCAAAATTCATCAAAATGGGCACAGCACTAAAAACACTACAATTGAGTATGTTCTTCTTTTCTGGTAAACATCCACAAACACTACGCATGATCTCCGCTTTATATGTAATAGTTATTATTCGCGGCTTCGCTTGCGTGATAATTGGGGCGGGGTTTAAAAGTAGCCTCTGTAATATAGGATGCTCAGGATACAATCTAGGTTTTCGCCAAATTTTATCGAAATCTGTTCAGCCGTTTAAACGTGAAAAGGGAACAGATAGAGTTGCTTTCACATTTATAATAGTATAGAGGCATCTTTAACTAGTCTACACTAATATTATAAAGAGGAAAGATTTGTATTTATTTATGTTTGTAACGAATAAAATCAAAAACTACTGGATCGATTTAGATGAAATGTGGTAAGAAAATAATCTGAGACCCTGGGAAGGACATAAGATAGTTTTTATCCCAGAAATTATTATTTAAAGGGGTGAAAATGGGGATGAAAGTTTGTATGGAGAATCAACCCAGGGACGAACCCGAGCGAAGTGAGGGTGTTTCGATAGTGGATTATAAATCTAAAGATATTTTTTTCTTTCTTTAATCACATCTCTGACATTAGCTCTTAGAAAAATCTTACGTTAAAAATGCTATGTATATAGGAAGCGAGTAAAGCTATTAAACATAAATAAATTACGAAGTCTAGATAAAAGCTAATTTACCTATATACATTTTCTAAGAAACACAATACATAATAATAATAATAATAACCCCCCCAAGGGACCACCTTGGCGTGGTGGGGGGGCTTAAAATAATAATAAATAATAAATATGTCAGGACATTAACACACAACGCCATCTAGTTCCATGGTAAGCTACGAGGCTTGTGTTATGTATACCAGATAGTTGATACATTATACATATATAACTTTAAATACATACATATTATAAATATCAACATCCATGACTGGAGTACAAACATTCGTGCTCATCGCACAAATGAATGCCCCCAGCGGAATTCGAACCCGCGACCGCTGGCGCAGCAAGTAGGGTCACTACAAACTAAGCCAAACGTGTCGTCAACAGACCTTACTTATGAAATTAAATATGCAAAAATGGAGTTATCTTTAAAACAGACTTCATTTAGTCAACTCAGAGACCTAAGTGGTGTAGTAAAATAAATTAACCTATTCAAATCAAAATATACTTTATTCAAATAGACTTTTACAAACACTTTTGAATCGTCAATTTTTTTTTCTTTATTGGCTTATAATAATAACAGACGCAATCCATTCAGTTTTGTGAGGAAGACACGAATGAGATTGAGCGGTAATTTTGAAATTTGGTAACTTTAATGTGGAGTTAAAACTATAAATTAATTAACTACGGTACGTTTTAAATTAAAATGGATATAGTATGTTATCCTTAAGAGATAGACATATGCCATCGCGGACTTTTCTGTAGACCTATATAAGATACACAATTCCACCATACATTATTTTGTTATATCTCAAAGGGTTTAGGCAGCGTTTTCGTTGAAAGTTCCCAGACGTCTTATTTTTTTCGACACCTCCAACAAATATCGTTATATTTTAGCCAATGTATCCAAAAACTTAACAAATTATATACTAAAACCTTTCTCTTGTATCACTCTATCTATTAAAAAAACCGCATCAAAATCCGTTGCGTAGTTTTGAAGATTTAAGCATAGATAGGGATATAGGGACAGAGAAAGCGACTATGTTTTATACTATGTAGTGATGATCGGTTTACAGGAGTAACCTACAACAATAGTAAAATTATTACGTAATACAAAAATGACACATCGTCAATTTTACATTTTAAATTAAATGTCAGTATGTAAGTCAGTGTGTCAGCGTATAAGGTTTGACAAACGGAGGAGAAAAACTGAACTGTTTGGTCTCTGCCTATTTATAAATGTGTAGATTATAAAAGTGACAGTACATGCATTTTTTAACTGAGATTCTCAAGAAGAAAGTTTTTTTCCGACTGAATACACAAATAAGCTTATTTTTATGATATATTTATAAATTGTTCTATAACCTTTCTAGATAACCTCTCTATCTATTGGCGAAAACCGCATGAAAATCCGTGCAGTACTTTCTGAGATTAGCCAGGACAAACACACTCAGTGGGGGACTTTAATTTTACTGTAGTGCTGCATGTTGTTCTTTCCATATTTGGAATTTAAACATTTTCATGATGCGAAAATTTGATCAAAATCTGTTCAAAACTTTATACACGATGTAAAATTTTCAATTTGGAACAACAACACAACTCAAACAATATCCCAACGCCTCTTTTTTGGTATTTCGCTTGTCGCTACAGAAATGAAAAAAGAGAATGTTAGTTTTAGTGTTAAATCTGCTTTTCGTACTTTTTTTAATATTTAGTGCAATACAGATTACTAATGTTCGCTCAGTTGTCAAAATTCGGTCATAATATATAATTTGATATAACATAATATATAATTTGAGGAGAACATAATATGTATATGAGTAGAATTTATCTATGTATATAAAAAAAAATGTTTTCAATTTTTTTTTAATTAATAACAATAAAGCTAGTCAATAGCTAATATAGCGAAGAAAAAGGTAATGAACTGTTTTGTCTTTGCTTATTTATAAATAGGCTAGCGGCATAATCTCGCTTCGCTCGGGTGAGTCCCTAGGTACGTTTTAATTTTTTTCTCACAACCCTAATTTTGTTTTGTAAAATTATAGTAGCCTGAGTTACTCTTTATAACATCTGCTATCTACCAGTGAAAGTCCTGTCAAAATCAGTCCAGCCGTTTTGAAGATAAGCCGGAACAATCAGACAGAGACAAAAATTTAAAAAAATTATGTTTTTCTTAAAGTACCGTATATAATTTCATACGCATTTGGTAAAAAACTGTTATTTTGACATTACATACAGACATTTCAATTTTATTTATCTGTACAGATAGATATATTGTGCAATAAAATTTACATTAAAGAATTTCTTTCGAGTCAGAACTGTAGTTGAGAGGCTGTTACTCTGACACCTGTAGAGGGCAGGGGAGATGAGAATCGATTAATCTTAAAAACTTCTTATTTATAATAATTTTACTTAAAAACTTCATTAAAAGTTATAAGGCTGTGGCATTTTGTAAGCAAGTCTTTATTATGGGTTTGAGACTTCTCTATGAAAATTTTTATGCAGGTAAATAATAGCGTAAACGATACGTATTAACGGTTAGTATAGCTTTGTCAGAGATGAGATATTTTCTCGCAGTAAAACGTATCCAATAGTATAGAGGTCGAATCTCTATTTATTAAAAAAATTGTCTGTTTGTCTTACAGTCTATCTGTTTTTCTATCTAGGAATGCATGACGAGAAAACCACTGAACAGATTTTGATGAAATTTGGTGTGATGATAGCTGGTTATCAGGGTCAACATATAGGATACTTTTTACTGCGGGAAAATATCTTATCTCTGAGAAATCTATACTAACCTTCAAAACGTAACTAAGGACGAATCCGAGTGGAGCGGAGGTGAGTCGCTAGCCTATACAGATAAATAAAATTGAAGTGTCTGTGTGTAATGTTAAAATAACAGCGTTTTACTAAATGCATATGAAATTAATAAGAAAAACACATTTTTTTAATTGTTGGCTGTCTGTTTGTTTTGGATAATCACTGAAACGGCTAGACTGATTTTAACGGGCCTTAAACTGGAAGATAGCTGATGCTATAGGGACTAACATAGGCTACATTTATTTTAGAAAAAGAATTAGGGTTCCGCTCAAAAAAATTAAAACGGATCTTAATCGCTAGACTTCTATAAAATATTTAAAACAAACAAACATTCTTTAACTATTTTTTTTTGTATTTGGTAACTTTTTATTTTTTTCTAGAATTCTGTTATACGTATGATAGATTATCCGCCTTAAAAATGCTATAATATGTCAGTTAGTTGAGTAAATTCAATAATTTGGCCTTCACGTAAACAGCCAGACACATTTCGCACTTACAATATTTAAAAAAGAACGTTGTAATATGGCAAAGACATCTATAAAACGGCAAAATTGGCATTGTCTTTATATTCAAAGCATATTTTGCCCCAATTTAAGTAGAAAAAATCATTATACTCTTTCACTAGCACCATAACTTTACCAGTGTTGGACGAAATCCAAACATCGAAGACGTTTTGTTTATTATTTGACCATCTTTTTTACAACTTTTTTTTTATTATTATATAACTATCGACTCACCCTCGTTTCGCTCGGGTTCGTCCCTAGGTCCTACTACGGGAAAATATCTCATCTCTAAGAAATCTATACTAAACGTTTAAACGTAACTTGAGACGATCCCGAGCGGATCCAGGGTGAGTAGCTACTTAGTAATTTTATAGAAATTGAAAAGATTTCTAGGTCTCGAGACTAATAAGATGAAATTTGTTGATACATTATAATCGACACAGTGCAGTGTTTTAGCAATGAGATAGGAAAAAAAATTACTTACGATATCTCTCCAAATGGCGCGAAGGCATCACGAAGGTTTTGCGTTTCTATCTCAGGACTCAGGTCACCAACGAAGATGTGATAGTGTTCTGGAACAAATTTTTTTTTATAATACTTTCTTAGATTTGAGCCATCGATCAAAAAAGTACTAGATACACAGTCAGCGACAAAAAAATGTCTTCACCAGATGAGCATTTGAACATTTGAGCGCGCTTTTAGTTTTTATTTTGTGAAAACTACTTTAAGCATTGTATTTAAGGTTCAATTTACACTGTTGTATATTTATTTCAACTAAAATAATTGCCTAAACACAAGAACACACAGACACAAGAAAAACACAGAACTTTTGCATGAGATTGTGTATTTAGTAGATTTTTGATCGATGATTTACGCGAATATTTGAAATTTTAAATATAATTATCCTTTCGGATTTTTTCTCGGTTTTATTTTGATTTTTAGTTCCCGACGTTTTGTCCCAGTACTAAAACCGTATTTTTTTAATTTAAAATAATGTACATAAAGTTTTACAATCTTCTTTTTTGGGGTACACCCCAATATATTACAATATAGGGTTAAACAATACATAGACTTTTTCGCACACACAAAAGAAGAGTACAGAAGATGAAAAAAAAGAAGAAAGATAACAAAAGGAATGCAAAGGCGGTCTTATTGCTATGAGCAAATCTTACAGACAACCTTTGATGGAAGAATTACTGGAATCGTTGGCGGTACAATAAATATTAAATATATACAAGTTCAAAGATTAATTTTTTAACTTTTAAAACTAAATTATGTTTTGAAGTTATTTACAATCACAACATATTTTAATCATTCGTTTTGGCTTGCATACTATTTGATAAATCAACTATCTGGTATCTATAACACAAGCCTCGTAGCTTACCATGGAACTAGATGGTGCTGTGTGTTAATGTACCAACATACATATTTATTTAGTGTTACAGTATATATATTTACAATAAATATCCATTTATTTACCAATTGAGTTACCACAAGTATGTAGAAACTAATTAGAGTAGAAAACAAACAAAAAGCAAAAAAGTTAACGGTTTTACCAAGTAGCAAAAAATAAATTACATGTACATTGTAAGTATTATATAATATGGCAACTATGTAAGGTAGATTAAAAAAATATTGGAGTACGTCATTAATATTCTTTTTACATTCCGCCATCTTTGTTTATTTTTTTTAATCTGTACCGGATTACGACACTGGTATAAATAATATAGCGATAATTACTTTTACATATCTCAAGAACGTGACATCTTAAGCCACTATATTGCTAATATTTTTGTTTGTTTAAGTTTAGTCTGTCCATTAACATAAGTTTAAAAATTATTATTTTAAAATAAAAAATAAATAAATGGTGGTTAATACAGATAGTAATACAATATAGATAGTGAGTAAATTAAAAAAAATGCGTGTGTGTGCAATTCACACACGGTAGAAGCGAATCTTTAGAAAAGTATCCTACGAGAGAGTGAGATGAATATAGTGTCAGGAGTAGGATCTTTGTAAGATTTAGTTTTTTAATAATATTTTTACCAAGTTTAAGAGTTATTTTCCATGTTATTTGACATAAATATATATTATATATTATTCAGTAATTAATTTTATTATTTTTAATTTCCTGTGTATTGTATTCTATCTCAAATGATAATGGCTACCATGGCTACATGGCAATATATTCTATCTCATTCTCTCGCCGACTTAATCCTATATATTTATGTGTTTGTCTCTTTAGTGTTGCATTTTCGTTTCATCGAGTTTCAAATCACAACGATTGTAAAGAAGTTTCACTTCAAAAAATCTGCTAGAGTAATATTCTGAAATTGGGCAAATATCTGAATTGGTTTAAAATTATCCAAGATAACCGATCTGGAGTATCTCTTTGAGGAAACTTTGCCCGTGTTTCAAATAATATAATCTATTCAAGGTATTCCATGAAGTTTAGATTATATTACTACTATTGTAGTGGAAGTCTTGAATACTAATTCTTGAAACTCCAAAACTAGCTGATACATTTGTAATTTGATGATGTTTCAGTCAGGATGGACATTTTAGCGGCTTTTGAAGTTTGCAACAATAGCGAGATAATTCGAGTAGTTACCCAAGTGCACTAGAAGGAGGGTAATGTTTTAGAGTACGTGTCTGTGTATGTATAGATTGGCTTAAAATTGAATAGGGAGCTACAGTTAATAATAAATTGCCGAATTGTCGTGGTCATTATGTATCTATACACAATATAATAAAATTGTAACTCATTCGAATCTGTACATTAAATATATTTTGGAAAATCTTATTGAAATAGTCATTATTATCGATACAGAGACCCAATCTATAATTTTTAGAATTTTTGTCAGGTTCAATCTCGGGCCTCGCAGTCTGTTATTTTCATGTACCAATCATTTCCAACATGATCACCACTTGTCTTACGGTGAAGGAAAAGATCATGAGGTTTTGCATTTCTGAGAGAACCTAAGCAAGCTTTCGAAAGACATGTGAACTCCACCCCGCATTTGGCCAGCGTGGTGGGGTAGGGGTGCGGGGGAGAGACCCACCCCCAGCTGTGGGACGTTAATAAGTGCCGAATACATACATAAATACATATAAAGACCTTGGTATTTCTCATAAATTAGGCCGGTGACCTACTTGCTATACAATTAAGTTGCGACACTCATTCGCCGTTTTCCTTTTATTATATTCCCAAGCAAACTCCTCACATAAAGTCAAATAAAAAGTAACATTCCGAACCCTTCCAACATCTTTAAATTCTAACCATTTGGAAAACTCAGAATTACCCCCAAAATTTCCCAGTAGATTTCAACCCTAGTTATTAGGAATAGAAGCTATTTTTGTTTAACGCTGTGGCAAAAATGTCTTATTTAATCGATATTGGTCTAAAAGACCATTTAAACTGCTTTTGTAGATTTTATTTCAAGTTATAGTAATAATTATAAAGGACAATATCACTTAATACGTATTTATTGTAACTCCCTCGGTGGTGTAGTGGCTAGTATGTACAGCTGCAGATTCGGGTCCTGGGTTTGAGTCCCGGTTCGTTTAGTTATTGAGCCTTTCTGTTTAGAAAATTTCAGTAACACTTCGGAAATGAGAAGTTTAATTTTATAAAAAAAAAACAATTATTATGGTCAAATTTAAAAAAAAATCTTTTTTTTAAACGTCAAATATTCGAGTAAATCTAAGAAAGCAATATTTTTTTAAATTTACGTGCAGATACTCTCCCGTTATCATGATTGCTGTAAAGCATCTAAAACATCAGGAACCAAAAATCAAAAGAAATACGCGAAAAATCCGAAAAGAGAATTTTATCTATCTAAATATCTAAGAAAGTATACATGTATGGATCATACAGATCAACATACATACATTTTATGTGTATAGTAATAAAAAGAAACAAGCAAACCTTTAGCAAATTCCTAGTGAAGCTTAAATAGGCTACAGAACTATAGAATTACAAATGAAAAGCTCGTGTAAACATAAATTGGCGCGTTTTTTTCGTTTGAAGCAATCATTCAAATTAAAACTTTTTACGTTCATTAGTTTTTAACCGATTGAAAAAAGACGTATTGAGTTATGTAAGCTTTTTGTTTGTAGTTTGAAATGACTAGAAAAGTTTTTGTCTCTAATTGCATCTATTCTGAATGCTGAAGTAAATGTCGGTCAGTTTCCTTGGTGTTTATGGTCAAACTACCATCATTCTATTACAATATTATATTTATAATATGTATGTATTTAAATTTATATATGTATAGTGTATCAACTATCCGGTATCCATAACACAAGCCTCATAGCTTACCATGGAACTAGATGGCGCTGTGTGTTAATGTACCGACATATTTATATTTATTTATTTCACGAAATAGCAAACACTCTCACACACACACACACACACGCACACGCACACACACGCACACGCACACACACACATCCTTAGGGGTGAAATAATGTTTTCGAGTTATTTAATTGCTGTCATACTATATTTGGGGAATTAATGACAGTGGTAGCCCAGTAGTAACAAGCTCGCTTGGGAAACCTAGTGAAGCGGGTTCAAATCCCGGGTCTTGCACCTCTGATATTTTAATGTGCGAATCATTCCTAACATAATCACCACTTGTCTTAACGATGAAGAAAAAGATCGTGAGGAAACCTGCATGTCTGAGAGAATCTAGCAAGTTTTTAAAAGACATGTGAAGTCCACCAACCCGCACTTGGCCAGCGTGGTGGACTATGGCCTGATCCCCCTCGTATTGAAGGGAGGCCCGTGCCCAGCAGTGGGACGTTAAAAAAAGGGGCTGAATACATACATACATGTAACGGACCGGTAAGTGTCTACGATTATTTTAAAATTTTGAGTCATAAAGGCATCCAACAATGATATTAAGTGACTTTGCTTATGTGGAAAATATGTCCATAGCTTTTGTCCCGCATATAAACTCAAAGTTTTACTCAAATATGTGTAGCTGTTACAGCGTGAAGATATGACAAACATACACAAACTTCCGCATTTATTCGCATATAACATCTTATAAATATTAAAGATTTATATTAAAAAAAACGGGTTGTAAAATATAAATATACTAGAGTCTCACCTTCGCTCCAATCGGGTTCGTCCCTGCTTACGTTTTAACGTTTAGTATAGATTTCTCAGCGATGAGATATTTTTCCGCAGTAAAAAGTATCCTATATTACGTTGACCTGGATAACCAGCTATCATCATACCAAATTTCATCAAAATCGTGATGATGAAAAAGTGGTTTTCTCGTAATGCGTTCCGAGACATACACGACAGGCAGACAAAAATTCTAAAAACTATAGATGCGGCTTCTGTATCGATAATAATGATTATTTTGATAAGATTTTCCAAAAAATATTTAATCTCAGATTCGACTCAGAATTTTATTATATGTTATTTTATGTTATGTACGTATGTTGAACTGAAATCAATGAAATTAGACACACGTATAGCTTTTTTACAGACGAAAAAAACATTACAAAAAAAAACTGACTGCGATTAAAACTAAAAATATGGGAACAAGAGACAGACATA